ATGACAAAAAACGTTTCTCTATTTACTGATTTTCATAGGAAACGTGTCCACCATAAACTTGACACGTTTCTTAAAACAGTCCCCTCAATCACGGCGTCAGTCAGTCTGTCAGTCAATCAATGGAATTATGCCTAGTTGAGATATTATTTTAGAGTCTTTTTTTTCTATACACAAAACTTTGATTGACAATCGGATTTTGGTGTCGCTAGCGGGTCTTAACGCTTGCTGCCACCAAAAAAAAGTTTTGGTTTATGACTAAGGGAAATGATTCGACAGGGACACATATTTAATTTTAAAATTGTTTTCACTTTCGATTGATTTGATAAGAGAGTTTAAACACACTTATGAGCTCATTCTACGAATATTTCTGATCATTCATAAGCTTTCTGCTATTTCAAATGTGATTAGCTTTTATTTTTTTTTTCTTTGTAAAGATTCTTTATTTATATTCATGATTTAACTTTAGACTATAGAATACAGTTTATAGAAAATGTAATATTAATTCATGAATATTAGATATTCCATAATCAAACATTATATCATGAATAATTATTATTTTTCCCCTTCAATTCGTAAAGCTTTCCAAATCCGCGGCGCCTAAGCGAGCAACTGAAATAAATGTGTGTCGATATATTTGTATAATGAACTCAATGCTCAACAACATATATAAATGTGTATATATGAGAAGGGCTTTCCGGCTACTTAGCAGCAACAAACTTCAGTTATTACCAATATAAATGCCCAATACAAATAAACAGGCCACAAACCATATTTAAACAAACTAAGCCCAAAGTAAATGTGTTGAGAAACCAGAAGAGAGAGAGAGCGACAGAGAAAGGAATAGTGTGAAGAGTGTAATTGAGTGCAAGAGAGAGAGAGAGAGAGAGAGAGAGAGAGAGCTGACTATGGGCTAATCCTGGCATGTCAATCATGTATAGCATTTGTCAGACCCAATGTCGCTCTAGCTAGATGATGAACTGGGCTAATAATCAACAAGCAACAAACAACAACAACAAAAGCAACAAATACACTCGGAAAAAAGTTTATCTTGCTTTTTAGAAAGAATTTCTAAATATAAGAAAACCAATTTTAAAAAATTGGAGAGGAATGCCGTAAATCGACAATATCAAAAGGAGAATAGAAAATAACAAAAATTAAAACCAGTATTCTTTTGAATCCTTTCTGATATTTTGAAAGTAGTAGTGAAATTTGTTCTCTCAGCTTTCTGTTCTTTCGATCCCTGTAAAATCGTATTTTAAATTAAAGAGTAAAATGAATTCATAAACTATGTAAAATGTTTGTATAAAATAAAAACCTTTTTCTATATGTACACACAAAATCAACTCTATTGAATTTAGACATATTTTCTCTACATTTTAGAGGAATCCAACTTGAAATTAAGAACCATCAATTGTAGAAATTGACTATCTGAATAATAAGGAATAAATTTGTAAAATTCCGAGCGATTTTTTTGTCAGAGTGTAGAAGCACAGTAGACTTCATTTTGACACATGCTACGCGACGGGGCAGCTAAATGTACTACGTCTCTGACTCTGAATCTGACTGCTGACGGCAATGCGCACAACAATAACTCCAACAACAACAACAAAAGAATAGCAACAACAAATTCCAAATATTGATAGCACTGATAACGATCGACAGGCGACATCGACTCGACATCGACAGAGAACGTTGAGCTGACTGCAACAGCACACACCTTGTGGCCATTTTAAATGGCTTATCATGCAACCAAACAAGGCACGTCTATGTCCCAGGCATATATATATATATATATATATATATATATATGTATATATATATAAATTAGAGGTCTATCTACCTAGTATAAACACGAATATGGTCTGTCTCTCTATTTATATATGTTAGCTATGGGTAGCACAAGCCACAGTGTTCCTTAGCTAAGTAGAGCTACCAAGCATTTAGGATCAGAGTAATTTCCAATATGATATACGCCTAGAATAAATAATTCCTTTTTTGCACATTGTCTTCTTAGCTTCCACTTAGAACTCCCAAGTTTTAAAAGTCCTATGAAATACATCTCAGTAAATTATATATCAATAAGTAAGAAAGCCAAAAAGAAATAGTTTGATTCAAAATATTGTAAATAATAATTATTAAGTTTGCAGAAATTAGAGATGCATTAACTTATTACAACTCTACACCTCAAAATATAGTTTTTCTAGCATATCTTTAAGACAACTATAATTTGTAGTGAAACTACTAAGATCTTTCAAGAAGTTTTTGAAGTAAAAAAAACGATAAACTGTATTTAAATCTTTCTTTTATTAAGTCTCCTTTCAATCATTTTATAAAAATGAAAAATCATAGTTAAGGCAAATTTAAAAGCTATATAAAATTGTCACCTCATCAGTGTGGTAATACATATTAAATTTTTGGCAAATTGCAAATATTAACCAATTAGAATTTTAGCTGGATATGCAGTTCTTTTAGCATAAGTTTACTGTAGCATAACTTGCTTCAATTTTTTGTGGGCCAAACATTTGGGGGAAGCCACATCTATGCTACGGCATATATGTCGACTATAGATATGTGTAATATGTGTGCGGGGGATATATGTATATAAATTTTGTGCATATTGACATATTAAATCTCAATGTGTCATGAAGCATTAAGTTTTATGCCCAGTCCGATGAGACACACAAAGACATGTTTAACCCCCACTCAACCTTCGGCACACTTCAGCCCCGCCCCTCTCGCTCAGCTTATCAGTGTCAAGTTTAGGTTTCTTCCTGGTCTCCATCTCAACATCTAATTTGCAACAGGCGATAATTTTTTCATTTTCAATTTTTTGGTTATAATAATATGATTGCAAAGATTTGGCCATAAATGTCGCTATTTAGTTTTTATTGGAAGTAATACTAATTTTTATTGGTTTATTGGCTATACTATTGTTTTAATCAATACGCCCAAGCGGCGAACCTGTTATCGCACTATGGTTTACAGATAACGCACACGTTTACGCGGTATCAACCAAAAAAAAAAAGAAAAGCTAAAATAAAATTATTAGAGCAACATAGAAACTCGGGTGTTCCATGGAATATAGAACCCGCCTCGCGTCCATTGACAGGCGGGCGGCCCGTTGTTGGTTAATTTCACCCAAAAAGGTGTCCCGTGCGGCGAAGAATGCTAGTCTAGCTAATCTAATCGCGAAAGCCCCGCCAAACAGCTATTGAAACAAAAGTACAACACAACAATAACAGTTCTTCAAAACACTTTATTGCCATACACCAATAGAGAGTTAGTCTCTGTGTTTGTGTGTGTGTGTGTGTGTGTGTGTGTGTGTGTACCGAGTTTCCTTTTGACACGTACACCCCAAAAACACACATAAATATATATATCGACATTAGATAGTCTCCACATGGCGCTAGTTGTGTGCAACAAAAATTGTTGAACACACTTTTTTTTATATATTTTATTATTTATACGAATAATAAATAAAATGTATAATCTTAATTTGTCGTCTTGACCCGTTAAAGGATTAAAGTGAACAACGGCGATGTGCGCCATAAACGTTAATTGCATACCAACAGATTTTATGGGCTTAATGGATATCGTCGATATCGAGCGAACGTACGAACGTCGTCAACTTGAAAAACGTCTGGGCAACAAACTGCGCGTAGGTCATAAATTGTAAGCGCAGCGCACGTGTTTATGCATGACTGTATTTACTTGTGGGTGCCTCACCTCGCGTCTGCGTGTATGTGTGTATGTAAGTATGCATTGGTATTTGCATTGCAGTAAATGGTAATGCTGTATTATTGTGCAATGGAAGAAACAAAACCAAAGAGTACGAAACAAAACAAAAGTGTGAGAAGCGCAGGCGACAGCAGACCAAAAAAAAAAGCCTTGAGAGCTTTTTACATACAAAGAGAAGACCAGCATTGTTGGAGAAGCGAGAGAGCGGGTGAGATAGAGAATACCCAAATGGAGCAAAAGGCAAAAAAAAACAATGACTCAATTGAAAAGCTGCCCAATTAGAATATGCATATTTGTGTGAGGTATCAAAAGTGTCGCAACACATTAAAAATTTAATGGATTCGCATCGCTGCATTTGCAGTCAAACTCCAAAACCTAATTCAAACACTTCTCGAGCCGCTAATTGCTGTGAGAGACCGACTTAAGTTCTATTTGCATTTTTCATTAGAAACTGCTGTTGGGGGATGGGGAATTGATCAACCCCATTGATTTTTATATTTATTTTTTTATTTTTATAGTTAAATTGATTTACGACACGAAATTAGTCAACAGAGTCGACAAGTTTCTGGCTGCGACTGCTGATTGAGGTGAGCCTGGGGCATAAATCAAGGCGTTCGTTGTGTGTGTGCCGTAAAATGAAGACAAACATTTGATTTTTATGGGCCTAATGGCCCTTCTTTGCAAGCGCTCAATGCAAGCAAATTGCTTATGGTTAGTTATAAAATTATGTTTTTCGATTTTTTTCGTGTCTTTCATCGTTTTTTCTTTTTTTTTTTGTGTGAAGCGCGAACAGCACGAGCTTTGGCTTTGCAGGCACACAAAGGGGGACTGTTGTTTTAATTTTTTTTTTTGAGCCTGTGTTCGTTGCGGATGCGGGAGAAACCCACAAAAAGAATGACTAAATTCGAACTCGAATTCGATTTGAAACGTACACAAAATGTTAGCTTAAGAACTAGTGCTGCCCGCATTTGACTAGCAAACAGCTAAAGTTAACTACCACTATATGATGCTGTTAATTTTGTATTATGCATCTGCATTTCTCAATTGAAAGCTTTTTGTTTTACATATTTTTATAATGTATGTCAAAAGTGAAAAACGCTAACATGATTTTGATTGAACAAATCAATTAGAATTCTAAGGTCAACTAAGTCTACAAATTAGCTTTAATCTGCTGTTTATTTTCACACTAAAAGCTTCAGCACTGACTAAATGGTCATATGCTATGTTTGTTTAACATTCACAGAATTAGCTTGAAAACTTACCCGGCTGCGGCTGCGCTGAATATGTTGGCTTCTTCATCCAATCATAAAATTGAGTTTTCGGCGGCGATGTTCGATGCGCATGATTATTGTTGTTAGCCGTGATGCTATTGTTGTTGTTGTTGTGCGTAGATGGACTGTTGTTGTTGTTGTTGCTCAAGTGATGGCTCAAATGATGCGGCGATGAGGCTGAGGTGGGTGCACCCGGACTGGAAATCTCACTGCCCGATACCGTTATCGGTGGCGATGGTAAACCCTCGGCAATATGTTGCTGCTGCTGTTGTTGTTGTTGGTGCTGCTGCTGTTGATGCGCCTGAGCAATGGCAACGGGATCTGAACTTTCGTTGAGTTGTGTCGAACCCACAACGGGCGCCGAGCTGCTGCTGCCCGAACTGGCTGAGCTGCTCGAGCCGCCGCCACCGCCGCCTCCATTTAGATGCGCATGATGCTGATGCTGATGTTGATGCATCAATTGATGTGCTGTTGTAGGAACACCGTTATTCTGCTGCTGCTGCTGTTGCTGTACAAAATTATCGTTGGCTGCTGCTGCTGCTGCCGCGGCCGCTGCCGCTGAATTGGATGCGGGCGAATGCCAATCGCTGGCCGCTGAATGGAACATGTGCGCATTGTAATACATTGGATGGGCAGCCGCCGCATGATGGGCAGCGGCATGCGACGAATCCACATCGCCAATAAACTGATGATTGGGCGGCGTATGATAATTGGATGGCCAATTCCAAGGTTGCGTCGCCGATGCATAAGCCAAATTGGCGCTATGCTTTTGCGAATACGGCATGTTATAATAATGTGAAACCATATTTCAATATTTTCTCTCTCTATATATGTTCTGTGTGAGGTTAGATCAACTCCAATTCTTTTGTGTGTTAAGTCTCTTTTTCTATTATTTTGCTCTTTGCGTTTTACGTCTTTTAGTTAGTTGTTATTTGTCTATTTTTCACATTACAAGCACATTTTGCAAGCTACTTTTTCTTTGCGCTCTGTTATGCACACACACATACACACACACTCACGCACTTTTTGATGTGTGTATTGGTCGATTTATCGTTCAACTCTTTAAGCTTTGTTTAGTATTTTTATAGATCGCGTTCAAAACACGCTTTTTCTTGCTATAGTTGCGCTTTGTTCAACTGCCGTTACGTTTGGCTCTGTTGCGACGTTAACCGCAGTCGAATGCGTACTGAAAGCAGCCAACAACGTCGGGCCCTGATAACAATAAAAAAAAAAATAAAATCGAAAATGTAAGCCACAAATTTAGCGAGGCAACAGCGTCGCAGCCGACTATCTAGTCGTCTCGCTCGCACACACACACAATAGCAGTAGTAGTTTTCTTTAACCCTCATTTCCGTTGCTAGTTTGAAATTCAAGATGGCTTATGTTGCATGTCGCTCGCTCGCTCGCTCTTTCATTGCCACGCGCGCTGTCTCGCTTACGCGTACGTCATGGCTGGGCCAGCAGGTAGCTCCGCCCACCATTGGGCTTGGCACAGGTAACAGTTTTATATTTTTTGGTCTTTTGTTTTGCTTTGCTTTGGTTTTTAGGCGCATAAGAAAAAGGGGTCTTTTCCTTTATGGCCACACTTCGATTTGCAGTATAAACTAATATTGCCTAATTAAGTAATTTCATGTGCATTATGCAATTAGTGACTGTAAAATCATGGTTGTAGTGGCCATAACTACGGATTTCCATTTATTATTATTATTATTACATGTATATGCCATCTAGCCAGATGTCTAGCACGCCTTTCAGCCTTCTGGCCATATATTTCCCTATCGCCAATCCACGTTTTAATGTTGAGATTTGTTTTTTCGAGTTTTATTTGAGATTTCCTTAAATTACAGCGCTAATTACATCATAAGTGATCACGCTTCAAAAGTTGCCTATAAATTTAACTTCAAATTGTGTAAGAATTGTTTGGTTTTTTAATTGATGCAATGGGCAAAGTGTTTTTTTTTTTAAATTATAATGTAATTGTTGTGAATATAATGCTAATTATTAAATGCTAATGGAAGTGGGATTTCTTGAGTTGTGTTTAGCTTAATTGATTTCGTTTTGTAACACAACTTTTATAACAACTAGTCAATTATTTGTTCAATCAGTCAATTATTATTTCACTGACCAAATAAACAAACAATTTACAATCTCAAGTATAATAAATATAAAAAAGAATAATTGAATAATCAATTTTTTATTTTATATATTATGCTTCTAGAAATTTGAAATACTTTACCTAAACTGATTGAGTAATCCGCTGGAAGATTTCGGATTAACTTCCCAGAATTATGTTTTGGTTGGATTAGTTAAAAAGCGCATTCATTGAGCGTCAGCATCATAAAGCTGCGCACTGAGTGCAAATAATTAGAAATACATTCAGTTGACACAATGAACAAATGGACAAACAAACACAGGCAGACAAACCAAGGAGAATCGATCAAGGATTAAGGATCAAGGAACAACAGCACCAGCAGCAGTTGGCCTCGCAGGCAGCACACTTAAATTGCACTTATTAACGGAAACTATGGCGAAACTGCTGTCTAAACAAAAAACCCCTTAATGCCCAAAAACAAAACAAATTGTAAAAACACAAAAACAGTTTTACGATCTGCAGCAGCAGCAGCGGCCGATCGCTTACCCTGTCCCTGCTCAAAGGGACAGCAAACAGGGCGTATTGAGTATTGAGTGTAGGTGCCTCCATAAAGTTCGCACTGCCATTAAAGCGGTTGCAGCCCATCTTTTCCAGCCCATCTTTTTTTTCGCCGTAATTCGCTTCGTGGAAGGATAAACCTTCAGCTTCATCTTCATCATCAGCGGCTTCATTTTGTTTTTTGTCACGTAACAGTGCCGTCAAAATGTGTGCTTACCTGGAAAGTCATTAGGGGCGCAATCTCCTCGTGCCTCGACAAAAGCGCTTTAGTTTTTTTCCCAAACGGTGCCCCGCATAAAAATCAATGCAATCAAAACCAAAAAAAAAAAAAGAAAGAAAAACCCTTCTAATGTACCAGTTATAACTATTGTGAGTCACTTCTGTTGCCCATAAATTAGAATATGACCGGACTATTAACAACGACATCAGCAACATAAAAAAAACTTGAAAAATGTTTTAAAATGCAATTATGTTCATAAATCCATAAAGCACAGCGCCACAAATCAGTCATAAAGCAGTCTCAAGACTTCAACGGCAATTAGGCGAGAAGCGAGAACAACATTATATAGAGATATAGTCGCCTATAAGCGATGAAATACTGTATATACAGTGGACACTCGCCAAACAGCCTGCATGAGTTTCGCAGCTGAAATTTCTGAAGTTGTTCCTTTTTTTTTTAAGTATAGTTTTTATTATTTTTATATTGCGAGTTTTGTTAATTTCTTATGTTTTCCAACTGAAGTACTCTATATATTATATATTAAAAACATATGTAAATATTATTGAATGTCATTAAAAAAAAGTGAATGAATAATGCTTGAAATGTATATTACATTTATCTATAAAAACCTTTCCACGCGCAAACTTTTTATAATACATTTTTTTTATTTGATCTCTTGAAATAAGTGCATTGAAAATAACAATTATATTTGCCACACCTTGCCTTCGATCTGGAGATTCGTCATATTCGAGCGATCACTGTACAAAATATATACCTTTGTTTTATCTGTATGTGTAGAAGTTTCACCTTTTGCCGTCGACATTCTCGAATCAAACATCGCGTCGCTTGATTGGATTGTTGAGTTTGGTTTTTTTATTTATATATTTTTTTGTCGCGCGGCTTGTCGGTTAATTTGAACGTCGAAGAGGTTTTATAGCGTTGACTGCGCAGCAAACGGCCCCCAAATCTACAACTTGCCCCTCCACTGCCGCCACTTTGGATTGGGCAAGTGCATTTTGCGTTGTGAGCACGCTTTATGAATGCCGCGATAAAATATCTTGTTAATAAAACAATTTATAAAATTTGTTTTGTTTTTTGTTTGTGTTTTTGCTTTGTGTGCCGCAATACAAAAAACCCAAAGAAATAAAAATTTCCTTTTTGCACAGCCAAAATGTTGATTAAAATTGTGATGATTCAGTTTAAATTGTTTTTGTTTTTTCATTAATAAGTTGAAAATCCACTTCAAAATAATTCCACTTCAATGAAAAGTATATTTTCCAGAAAATGTTCAGTTATTAGCATTAGGGGAATTTTATTCCTAAATTATAGAAAATTACATAATTACAAAGTACGTTTTCCGAAAAGTGATTTAAATTGCTCAATTCGTATACTCATAAAAAGAAACTATATAAATACAAACGATTCATTTGCCAAAAAAATATAGTTATAAATTAACAGCATGTTAAATATATAACAGGAGAAAAACATGTATAAAATAATATGCAGCAGCAAGTAGTTAAAATTAAAATGCGACTTAAAATCGAAGGTAAATACAAAAGGAATTCTATAATGTTAAGATCGTTCGTAATTTTGTTTTTGTGGTGCCTCGAAAACGATGTGCACAACAAATTGACATAGTACAACAATAATAAAAAATAATTATAATTCCAAAGGAATCAAAAGAGCCGTAAGAGAACGCAATACAAGAAAGTATTTTGACTAAATTTGTTAATTACAGCAGCAGCAACAAAGTTTCTTTAAGTTTCAGTTACAAAATTGTTTAATAAAAAGCGTATCAAAAATATAATTGTGTATATAAATTGTTAGTGTTATTCTGGAACTTTGCAGCTGGTAAATTAGTTGGGCTGGTCTCACAAAAATTAGCTCCACTTGATGATGATGATAGCAACATATACCAAAAATGTTAATCTCCACTATATAGATGTATGTATATATATATATATATGTCTATTTATATATGTACACTACTGGAGCAGAGATTTGCTCGCATCTCCTACGCTGAGCCGAGCACCTCGTTCAGTATCATCTCCCGCGTCATTAGCTGGCCATTGTTGACCCTCGTCCTCGATCGACTTCGACTTAGTTGAGCCCGCCTCTCTGCGCCTGCGGGTCGCTGCCGGCGTGGTTGTCTATTCCGCTGGCCGAAGGCCGAGCCCGTTTGCAGTGCCTCCATCAGACTGTCCATGACGCCCTCCTGTGTCTGGGCGGCATCCATGTCAACGACGGCTTTCTTGCGCTGCTGTCGCTCCATTTGCTCCCGTTGCGACTGTTCACGCGCCTCCTGCATGCGTCGCTTCTTCTCCAGCTCCTCGCGCAAGCGCACATTATCATTATGCGCCGCCTGGAAGGCATCCTTGAACGTCTTGATATCGGCAAAGAACTCCTCCATGGTGTATTTGGCCGGATCGAAGGCATAATACTCGCTCAGGTCCTTGAACAACTTTTCCATTTGCACTTGCATCTTGCCTGGAAAAAGATGAGTAATTATTAGTAAAGAACATTCCATAAATGTTCCCCAATCACTTACCCAGCACATCCACCTGCTGGCGACAGTCTGTGGCAAATTTGCCCATCACCTCACAGAACTTGTCATCATCGCACTGCGGCACTTTATTGTTTTGCAGATCCGTTTCCAGATTTTTGACAGACACATTCATTTGTCGCATCGCCTTCTGTATGGCATCCATGTTGACCCGCGACGCTTTGTTCACATGCGACAAATCGTCGTAGAAGTTGAGCGCATCGGGGAACTTCTTCTCGACCAGATCGGCCAGATAGTGGAGCAATGTTTGCTTATTGTCCGTATCCTTGGTGTTGCTCAATTTCGTCAGATAGGATATCTCAAAGCCGAAGGCCGCCTCGTTCTTGGAGCCCGAGTTCATATAGTTGCCCAGCAGCAGTATAAGCTCCAGTATCTTGGAGAATTTCTTGCTGTTGCGTATCTCCTCGCAAGCCGCTGTGCCGGCAACAATATCCGGCTTGATATCCTGCACCATGTCCGCATAGTTAAGCTTAAAGTTCAGATTGTGCAGGCGCGGCGATAACCGTTTGATTTCACCTGCAGAAAGAAAGGAAGAAAGAAAAGTTTGTAATAATTGTTCATGGCTGCCAAAGATATAAGAGTATGTATATATTGGTATATTCTGTCTGTCCGTCCTGTCCTTGAAACTTGGAAAACAGGAAATCGATCAAATCGCTAATCGCGAATAGATAAAGCCACACATTTTTAAGGGAAAGTCATCAAACTGGGAAAGTAGCTTACTGGGTCCGTCCCTTCGGCCATATAATATAAAAGATGGATGTTGCTAGGCTACAGCCACCCTATTCTGTGGCACCTGCTATCAGCTGGTAATACTTATTGGTATCTAGAGTGGTTGACAGTCTATTTTGAAGTCACCATTTGCCAGTTAGGCAATCTGCAACTGGGTCACCCACCTATTGTCGCCGCAAATTGCTCGATGGGCGGCAGCGGTTCACCATTGGCCTTGATCTCCTGCAGACGCTTCAGTTGTTCCGGCGGCGGCAGATATTGTATCAGATTCGTCAGTATATTGGTGGATAGGATGTCGGTATCACAGCGTAGCAGACAGATTTTGATCTGTTCATATGACAGATGCTTGAGTGAGCCACCAAGCAGAATGGCCAGATTCTGTGCCGACTTCGAATCGAGAACGCGCAAATCGACATTCTTTTTGGACAGCGTTGTTGGCTTATCAACCGAATCTTTCTGGTTATCTTTCTTCACCGGTTTTGAGGAGAATTTAATGGCCAACTCTTGGAGGAAATCATCGGAGGCCAACTTATCCTCCTCACATTTGACCCAGAACGCATTCTCCGACATTTTTGCTGGCACAATTGCCTTCCAATTGGCGCGCTTCATCGGATTATTGGCCTCCCATTTCTTTTTGGGCTTGAGGCCGTGCGGCAGCACCGGTACCATCGGCATCATCATCATGGGCGGTGGTGGTGGACCGCCTGGCCGTATCATGCCCGGCATTGGTGGCGGTGGCGGACCTCCACCCCGACCGGGCATAGGTGGTGGCGGTGGTGGACCACCGCCCATGCCCGGCATTGGTGGCGGTGGCGGCGGTCTTGGGCCGCCCATGCCAGGCATTGGTGGTGGTGGTGGCGGCGGTGGCATTGCACCACCTGGTGGTGGTGGTGGCATCGGTATATTGAGTTTGGGCAATTTATTGGGTGACGGGGCCGCCACACCGTTCGCCTCCATTAGCTTGACCTTCTCCTCGAGATGGGCCGCTTTCGCCTCGGCCTCCTGCTTGGCGCTCTCGAGTGCCTCGATCTTCTTCTCGTACTCCTCGGAACGTTGCGTCTCTTTGGCCTTCGCTTTCTCCACAATATCGTCGAGCAGCAGCGAGGTGTCGATCTTAAAATCACGATTCTCAAAATTCGGATCACAATAACCCTTGTGGAAGACAATCTGTGCGATGCACTCCTCAATCAGTTGATAATAAGCAGGCCGAAAATAGAAATCATCTCGTATATACAGCAAATGCTGTAATATTGATAGAAAATAGGGTTCCGATGTGGTGTCCGTCACCAGATTCTTGAGCACATCGAAACAGTCCTGGGCATCGTCCATGTTGAAGGTGACATTATCGAAACGCTGCACAAACTCCTCGAAGTCATCTTCGCGTATCTCCATAAAGATCTTGAAATGCTGTTGCAGTGCCTCATTATTGCTGCCATTGACAATCGCCTTGAACTCCTCCATCTTATCGTACAGACCCATTCGCATTATCTCACAGCGCAGATGCAGACGGAAATTCAGATCGGTTGGCGTATTCGTTAGGGTATTGATGAAGATGAGACTGTCACAGGCGAGCTCTCGCTTCGGATCCTGTTTCTCGGGTAGGAACAGTGCATCGACAATGGGTCTAAAGCGTTCCGCAGACTTATACGATCTCGCCGCAATTGCGGTTATTGCTTTCAGCACCTTCTCGTAGCCATTGCGTTCGTAGACAATGCAAAAGGAGGCAAGCAGCTTGAGGGCCTCACACATCGCTTGCGGCTTCCGGGGATCGAGGCATTCGGCCAGCTGTAGGACGACAATGTGCTGATCGGGTGTGAGGACCACATTCAATCCCCACGTATTATTCATGATGGCCTTGAGGCAACGTATTGCCTCGCACTCAATCCGATCATAGCTGCGATCCTTTTTCGCACGCAACAACAGTTTCGCAATTTCGCCGATGCCCGCCTCACCGAAATCCTTGATCCATGATATCGTATTGCTGGTGAGTGCCACACGCAAGGATTCCACGCACAGGAATACCTTGTGCTCGCTATGCTCGCCATTCTGCAGGTACTCAATGTAATCGATGGGCTTCTCGAAACGAGAGTTCGCGTTCCGCTCCAGTGAATTCTTGCCTGTAATGAATGAAATCGAATTTAGTTAAAAGTCTTTAGTTTCATGATCATACTTCAACAAGTAAGTAATAAATGGGGTGTGGGGTTCTTTAAAACTAAAAAAAAATCAGTTATATGTGCTCAAAACTAATAAATTGCTTTTCTAATTTCCACTGAACACTCAAGACTTAATTCAGATAACTTTTAAAGGCAAACCACATTGAAAGCGGATGGTTCGTTTCGCTCCAATTGAGTTACAGCTCTCAATGCTGGCTACGCTATCTGAAGAGCTTGTGGTGTGGCCTTATCAAACCACACCCGGACCAGAGCCGCAGCAGAGGAAGCGATGCTTGATGGTTTACTTTAAGTGTAACCTTGACTTTTATCAAAAATTAGCATCAGCGCAACGCGAATCCAAAAGCCACAATGACATATATACATACATCTGTCTGAATATATATATGCATATATACATTTACTATACAAAAATAATCAAGAATAAACATTGAAGTATACTGTAATATTAATCAAATTACGTCAAGTGCTGCTTTCAATGCAGACGCCTTGACGCTATTTTATTTTCTTTTTGCTGTTGTTGTTACTTTGAGAGAGTACACAAATATTCAAGTGCATAATGCCAGCATCAAAAATAAAAATACAAAAATGTAAATAAGTAAATATAAAAAAAAAAACAATACCAATAATAAAACAAAGAGCTCGACGGAGGGAGAGAGCGAGAGCGAGAACAGGTGGCAAGTGGCAAGGCAAACATCCGACAGATCATCCAAGTGAAGAGCTTTTCATTTAGTCGGTTTGCCGTTTTTTTTCTCATTTTCTAACACGTAATGCAAAGCCAAATTTGTATATAGAAATACATACATATGCAGGTATACATATATATAGTACGTGCACTTCAACGTATCGAAATGACAAAATCAGCTGAAAATAAATGTGGTGCGACGCAGCAGCGAGAGCAATAAAACGAAAACAATAATAAATGAATGAAAATGCTGCTCGAGAGAGAAGACGAGGTGAGCAGAGCCACAGGCTGGAAAACTAATCAAAACAAAAGGAAAATGATCGAAACGAAGTGGTTGTTTTTATTACGAAATGTACCAAACGAAATTGTTTACGCATGAAGTATGTTTATATAACTGTATATAAGAGTTCGTTCCTGCGTTTAAATGATGTATATTTTTGAGTTAAAGAGTCAAGTTATTGTGTTAAATATTTACATAAATTATGATAAGTTTATCACAGTCTTTATGCCACATAGATAGCGAATGTGGCATTTGTGCTCCATTGAGCTTGTTTCTTATCAGACTGATTAGCTAAATTGCCATTTAAATGCTAACTGACGATGTCTCGGTTAAGCGACTTAACATTTACATATATATCAAGTATATATATATATATATATATCTATATTTGATTCGTTACTGCATACTCAGGGAAAGCACTTAACATATACTTCCATCGCTTAAAGAAATCTCCCTTTTATTACGTGATCATTACTGAATAAATGCTCACTATATGCAAAAAAGTAAACTACAATTTGCCTGATTAAAATAGCAACTATTTAATTTGTGATATTTGTTGTTGAACTTTGCATTCGTTAAATGACACATTAAAAATGTTGTGCATTTATATTCCAATGATTATCGCCAGCTGTTAATTAAAGTAGACCGTGCGCCGCTTTAGTTAATTATAAATACGGTTCTTTTTTGTGTACTCCTCCCACTGCTGCTGCTAGCAGGTGCTGTGAAATAACGGTAAGCGCAAATTTAATTGCGGTTACGCTTACTTAATTCATCATCATTAAGCATGCTTTTGTTTTAGCAAGTTAGATAATTGAAATGTGTACTGCGAATTGAATTTTTTTTAAATAATAAAGTGTGGAATTTGATATAGAATAATGGATGGGTAGCGCTACTAATCCACTTTGCAATACAATGCTGGACAGCAAATTAGAGCGCGAAATGCATTAGTTTGTTAATTTTAGTTGTAATCCGGAGATTCCAACTGCTTATTTCGACAGCCGAACCAATTCCAGGCAATGTGGCAAGCTTTAATTATTGAGAGCACCTGTTGCACGCACCCCTTTTAATTTTAGATAAGGCAATCTATATATCTGTAGTATACAAGCAGCAAGATAACGCTTACATTCCATTATGAATCATCAACAGTGCAAATATTGGCGAACAAGCGAATCGCTAAGTTGATAATTAATAGAAATGCTTGCAAAAAACAAAATTACAAAAACAAAGCAAATACAAAAATCATTTACCTTTACCCACATACAGTTGCGCCAAAAATAATAGCACCACTTACTCATTTTATAGAAAATGTTAATTTAATTTATTTCAATTCTATTAAGAATTTTACGAATTTAATTTATTGATTTTAATTATAGTTAAATAAGTTGAAAACTCTGAATAAGATTATGGTTTTTTTTTCATTAAAGTTCACATTTCTTGTGATGAGTGGTGCTATTATTTTTTTCCCAACTGTACTTAGAAGTGAGTGCAAATATCAATCTTATCTTTTGCTCTATTTTCTGTTCTCTCTTTGCCACGTACCTCGCATGTGCATGAATACCATTTTCTGGCGCTCCTCGATGGGTTTGCTGAGCAACGGTTCTCGCTTGTCCTTCGGTATGTTCATATCCTCGAGTATCTCCTGAAATCTGGCATTCAATTGCGTCTCGCTCATCTCCTGAACTTGCCGTTCCAGGTCATCGACACCGATGCAGGCGCCATCGTTGTCCGTGGAGGCGGGTCGACCGCTGGCTCCGTGTGGCAGCGAGTTGCTGTTGTAGTTGCCACTACCCTTCGGTTTCGAGGGGCGACCGAACCAGCTCTCCAGCAGACCTCCGCCCACCGACTTCGATTTCTCATGCCGCGACATGCTAGCAGAAAAAAAATAATTTAGTCAGCTTTGAACTAATAATCAAAAATCAATTACAACTAAATCGAACCCAAATTTCTTGAGGCGCATTTTGTCGCTGGCGATGACAGTGCGCTAACTGTATTTGTATGTGTTTCTTTTTGTCTTGTTTTGTTTTTGTGTAATCTTGGACATGCGCAGCTTTTGCTCGATTGCACAGCTGTTCATTGTTTACACGACACAGAGCAATGCAATCTCTTTGAACTGCACGCTCCCAACTTCAACGAGCCACTAACAAGAAAGCAAGCATCCCATCACCTACCCCCACCTCCCCCATTCTAAATATCAGCTGCATCTTGATTAGCAATGCTTCTTGTTTATTTACCATTCCAAAGGATCGAGAGCAACAGACCTTTAGAGATGAGCGAGTGATTAAGAACAATTACAGCTGCACGAGTGACTCACGAAAACAGTTTTATTTTGCTGATTATAGTATTTATAGTCTTTTTACTTATAATTTTATGGTTGTAATATAAAAACTGCAAAAGAAACCTGGCTTAAGCAATTGTTTACTTATTCTGTTATTAAAATATTCATCCAATGTTGCTTATCGAGCGATGTTTTGTGCCATCTCTAGCTGTTACCAATTAACATGTAAATAATAATACGAAGAGCTGCTGCACTGTGTAGGTGAGGTGAGTTGAGGTGGGGGGCAATGGGCACGTGGTGTGAATGAAAAGTGCTTATTATTAACGCAAAAACAAACTTTAATATTAATAGCAAAACTAAACACAAATCAGATAAAAACATAAATAATAAGCCATATTGACCGAGTGCTAAAAAAAAACAAAAAAAATATGTGACGCGATAATTACCAAAATAGGAAATAACAAAATTTGCAAAGATAACAGTAGAGAGAGTGAGAGAGCAAGCAAGCGGGGTCAACCGTTAACTGAAGAGTGCGTGTGTGTGTGTGTGCTTATGATTCATTTGGCGGCATTCAAAATGCAATTTCGTCCGTTGAGATTTTGAATTTTATTTGTTGTTCTATCGAATCGAGAATACTTGGCAGATAAAACTGATGAATCATTAGGCGGCAGACTGGTTTTTGAGCTGATGTTGTCATCGACAGCAAAACTGTGAATGATCTTAAGCAAATGAGGCATGCCTATTGCAAAATAGTCTCAACAGCTCGACAGCAACTTATGCATGGACAGACAACAACAACAACAACGTTTCTTTTCATGTTGAGTAGGAAATGCTTTCAACAAAGATTTCTTTAGCTCAAGAATTTACCGTTGCTTCTGTTGCTGCAATCACTGCTTCATTGCCTGAATAGGCCAATGCAACAGCAACAGCAACAACAACAATAATTTGCTTTTTGTTTACTTGGAGGCAAATGCACTTTGCAGCCCGAGCAGCCCGCCTGGCGTGTGAGAATAACTAATGAACAGCAGCAATGCCAAATTGTAAACAATCTCTAAATGTGAATACCTCCACATAAGGCTTTCAAATTCGTTTCCAAATGCAAGAAACTCAGTTTGTGATGGGCGCGTGACACGACTTGAAGTTCGAAATTATCAATTAGACATGCTTCAATTTCTTGGTATATTTTCTTAACAATTTGTTAACGCTTCTGCACTAATTAATTAATTTAGCTAACCAAATTGCGATGGGCTCGTGCCACGACTTACTTGCTTTTCTTTAATATTTACTATTTTTTACGATGCATACATGAGTATATTTTGCTCTTCTGACAAATTGTGTTGTCCCTGCAGTAAAGTCAATTGGAATATTTCAAATTAGTTTAGCTTATATAGCTCAAAAGTTGTTTTACTTCTATTAATTTGCATACTTGGTATGTGTTCGTGACACGAAATGAGCGCCAACCTTAGTTTGCAACACTACAAATTCCAAGACGCGACGATATTGACAAAAACAATAACAACTCACAACTGAGAACGGAGAGAGGTCGACGACGACAACTCAAAGCAAGAATTCAAAATTCGGATTCACAAAATGTGCTCACCTTCGTTTTGCTTGTTTTTTTTCTCTATATGTGTCGCTGTGCTCACTTTTGATTTTTTCGGTGGTTTACGTCATAAGACAAAAAAATAATGGCTTGGTTGGCAAAGGCAGCGACACATACACAAACAAACAAAACACATACACACACACATACATACATGTACAATCAAAAAAGAGCTGTCAAACACCCCCCGCTGTTCCCCTTCGATCGTTTCGTTTGTATTGTCGCAGTCGAAGTCGCTGCTGCTATCGTTGTAGTTGTTGTTTTTCTTGGGTGCGCTGCTCTGCTCTGCTGGCCGAATTTTTGTTTGTTTTATATGCCGCGACGCTAGCCTAAACAGAGCTGCGCAGCGCACTTTAAAACAGACATAGACGCACACTTACAGACGCACACACACAGACGCACACGCACAACAGAAGCACAGACACTTTGCGTGGTAATTACAAGGCGAATTTGTTCATATTTTTGTTTTTGTTGTACACCAACAGTAAAAATAGTCACTACAGCTATGTGAATTTTGCTTACTTCTTAATTTTGGTTTGGCGTTGTTCACTTCGCTGTTGTTGTTGTTGTTTTTGCTGGTGTTGTTTGTGGGGGTACCACTTGTTGCTGGTGCATTAAATGACACATGAAATGATTCAATTTGTTCTTTCGACTACGTGCGTTCGCTTATCAACAAAACACTTCGCTTACAAGTTAACACGTAATTATTGTGCTTCAAATTTTTGCCGTTTGGCACAAGTTATACCAAAATAATATAAAATTATCCAAGCGTTCCGCTGAGCGTTCAGTTTGGCATTTACTCAACCGTTCATGTTCATTTCGTTCAGTTCCAATTTCAGTTCGAATGTTATCGCGCCATTATTTGTTGGTGTTGTGTTATCGATATGTATGCGCTCAGCGATCTCTACGATATATTTCGATTGACACTAATCTTTCTTTAGTTTTTCAACACTGGTTCTTCTTTTAGTGTTGAATTTAAATGGAAAAGAAATAGATTTGGAGTACCTTAACCAAATACACAAAAATTTAAAAATAAGTACAAATTCAAGTCCAAACTGAATAATTTATAATAATAATACTAATATCGATATTGTAGTATTAAGGCACACAAGTTTTCGGAAATTCGGATAACGAAACTCCAAGAAATCAATCGATTAGTCCTGTTTGAAAGCAAAATGTATATTTATATTTTAAATGTGAGAGTTTTATAGAAAGCCACTGGTATAGCAAAATGCAAGAAAATATATACAAACACCATTTGTATTCTTAAAAGAGCTATCTTTTTTATATTTTTCGAAAAAAAACACAGATTATTTGATGACCACAATAAGACCATAGTTTTCTTTGAGACTGTTTCGTTTGTTTCGGACGCATTATGCGTCTAAAGACATGTGTATGTTGTGTTTGTGTGATTGTGTATTTAACATACTTATAACCAGAGTTATAGCTAATTATCAGATAATTAATGGCATTTATAATGCTAAAATTAGACTACAAAAACATAATTAAAAAATCATATGAGTACGATTTTAGTACATTGTAATAGTAGTGGATGTGTGTGTAACTCTTGAGTAGTTAGACATATAAGATACAGATCCTAATGCTTATCAACTAAATTTCTATTTATATTTCTAGCTGCCCATTAGCTTCCTGTTGTTTGTTTTAATCTTTCGCTAAAAGTCCCGAACAACATCGAGATTAAATTAAATTCACAACTTAAACCTAAAATACTATTTACATTTAGTGGTCTGATCCAGCAGCTTCTTCCACAGATCAAACTGTTCGTTCGATTTGATCATGTGCACACTGATCGCATTTCGTATATTACAGGGATTGAACGAGATGCGTCGATTCACAAACTCATTTACATGCAGCCGCTCAATGCCTAGGCTCTGGGCCACAATGCCCGTGGCGAAGACATCCTCCAGCTTCAGATAGACCGTCGTCAACGAACGCACATACAGATCATGGACAATGGAGCCGGTCATGACGTAGGCGGGTCCCGTTGTAAACGATGGAAACACTGCTGCCGGGAACTGATCCGTTGCAACATAATATTTCGATTTCTTATTGCGTACGGGTTTCCATTTTTTTGCCAATCGTCCGTAGATGGCTCGCTTCTCCTTGCGTTTATCCAGAAATTTTAGCAGTTTCGGCACATTGATGAACATATCGTCGTCCGTCTTGAGTATATACTGGGCACGCGGACAATGCTGATCAATCCATTCCAGCGATGAGATTGTCTTTAGCGTTAGATTATTATACGAATCAATAAAGTTGCCCCTTATCAGATCGCCATACATGAAGTTCTCCTGCGAAAGTGCCTCATTCACCGTCTCATTGGTGCCGCGACCCAAAACAAAGGCCATGCTAATATCCCGTCGTGTCCCATAATGTCCCCATGTCTGACGGATCGACATTCGGGCATCAGCATGCGTCTGCGCCGATGTGATCAATATTAGCAGTCTTGTGCTCAAACCATTCGCCGGGCAAATCCGCTCGATGCTGATCTCATCATTGAGATGACCACTCTCGTAGATTTGTTCCGCTGCAATGCCCTTGGATGGATCCAAACTCGTCGCTTTGTTTGTGCTCTTGGCCTTTGGCACTTTTGCTGCTGGCGGCGATTGTGGTTTCTCATTTTCTTCGGCCGGCATTTTCACTGGCATCACAGCATAGGAACCAGCTCCATTGTTATTTTTATTGCTATTATTATCCAGCAAATTAATTGGCACGTCCTCCATCAAACCGGGCTGATTGGTTTTATCTGCAAACAAACAAACAGTATAAAAATGAAATGGATGAGTAACGTTGTTTCTGGGGAAATTCGATATATGTTAATGTCGTAACTATCTATGGGGGAACGACGTCATGTCTTTGTGTCGACTGTCCTCAAGTTGCGTAATATTTTATGTGCAACCTAATAGCGTGCATCAAGCGCTTTGCAAACAAAACAGAACTCTTCCTTTGTCTACCAACAGACCAAGCCAGACCAGACCGGAGCAGACCCCGTTATAGGTAAGGCGACACTTTGGACTAGTTGGCAATTAGTAAACAAACAAATGTGGAGGGAGTTGAGAGTGGGTGACCTGATGCCTGACGACGGCATTTAATCTAATGACCAACCGACTGTATAAAGTATAAAGTGTATTTATAGGGTATTTCAATTTTTGTCAGTTTGCGTGCAATGTTATAAAATATATATAAGTATTAAACAGTCAAACTTTGCATACTATCCGCATTAGAATCGATCTGATATATTATAAGACTGACATGGCACAAAGTGCTTGAAAATTTTGCTAGACTTGGCAACAATCTGAGTTACAATTTATGGTCAAAATTATATTTAACTCTGGCAAAGAATAGTTTGTATTCTAACGGCAAGAGTATCTAAATTTCGCGAAAGCCGACTATAACTTTTTTTTTTGCTTTTTTGGCATTTAGTTTTTTATTTGCACGACACGACGACGACAACGACAAATGTCTAACGCAACATGCCACGCCCATAGTTAGGAGGAAACCAACCCGTGTGTTGTTCGTTAGGCAACAAGACACCAGTCGCAGCTCCTCCTCCGACTGCTGCGCCTACTCCTCCTCCCGCTGCTATTGCAGCTGGGTTGCTGCTGTTTGATGTCATGTTCTTCAATATCTTATCGGCATTCTCAATAAACTTTTGCAAATTGGAAGTGGGTATCATCAGAGTATCGGCATCCGATGGCATCTGTTGCTGCTGCTGCTGTTGTTGTTCTTGCTGTTGTTGTTGACTTACGGCAGCAACTGCTGCTTGTCTAGCACTCAGCACCGATTCGCTATTGTTGTTGCTATTGATGCTGCCTATAGATGATAATATTTTATAAGATCCATTAAATAGCAATTTTGGCTAAAACTCACCTGAAATTCCATCAATATTCTGCACATATTGCTGCTCCTCGGGATCATCGGCCAGAAGATTGGGCGACTGGTCGCTGCCAGCGGCCATGGGACTGGCGCCAGCAGCGCCCCCATCACGCAACGCATCCTCATCGATGGTGGGCAAACGATGTGTCTGCTTCTTGTTGTTGTGCAGCGGCTCCAATTGCTTGACTCGATTATTACCATTGCTGCTGCTGCTGCTGGGCTGCAGCAGCTCCTCGCCCGGCGACAGACCGAATTCACCTGTATTGTTTAGGGCAACCATAGCAGGCAGCTGTTCCGACTGCTGCTGCTGGTGTCCCGTTAGCTGTTGTGGCGTTGGCGCCGCCAGTGCCGCCGACAGCGAATGCATATGCGTTGGAGTCAAGGTCGCCGTTGTCGAGTACGACGCATATATGAAAATTGTGAGTAAGACGACAATCAAAACTAAAAAGAAGCGCAGAATGCGCGTATTATGTAAACTGCCAACAGCCACCATTATTATCTTTGGGGTTGTCCAGTTCTACAAGTCCGCAATCTTTGATCCTTCAGTATTCGTATTTAGTACTAGTTTTAGATATAGTTTTTAGATATATATCAGTTAGAAAGCACTTGACATGCCTTGGACGGCGTACTTGGAGCGACTACAATAATAGATAAAGAAAAATACGTGTTCGAAATTAGACAATGAGATATATGAATGTATTTTCGTTTAGTTTTGCTTATTTACAAAAAGTCAACTTAATGTTTTTTTTTTATTTCTGCAAGTAACTGAAATAGCGGAGAGTGTTCTGCGTGTTTGCCTACAAACAAATGCACCATGCAAATGTACTTAAAAAGCATTATCTTATCTTGAGTGTAGAAAAGTGAACGTGAATGTTAAGTTAATTACATTCTACACTGCATTCTTAACTAATTGTCAATAAATGTGCGAGACTGATTCTATACTTATATTATACAAATATTATTTAATTGTTGTCTATCAAAAGAGATATTTCTGAAATACAAAATAATAACAATAATAATCTTGAAAGTTCTTTGAGTTTATTACTTTTTAGTTGCGATACTAATAGAATATTTATGGAATGTGCTTTATTGTTTATTGCTATATTGTTAAGCTGATGATACCTATGAAGACATCTTTTCCTGTTTATCAATAAAAGGTTTTCCCATTCTTTTTTATGACATACTCACACTCAATTTAGAGTTAACGACTTTATGGAATATAAAATGAATAAGTGGATAATTTGAACTCATTTAGAGTAAATGAGACTAAATAGCCTTCAGGTCTGTATTTTTCAAACCGAAAATTTTACTTTCAAATATTAAAATTAATCTAGAGCACAAATAATAATCAAATGGGCATGGCTTCAGTTTTGGTAGTGAACAAATATTCAGATATACAAATATTTTAACTGTTATATACATTTTTGTATATTTTATAAGTGGAATTCCGGGTAATGGATTGAGATAGTGTTCCACTCGGAACATAAAGAAAACAATTATTGTTTGGGTATGCATATGAATATGCGTATGTTGACTTCTAACTGAAAGCATTTTTCTCTCGCTCATTGAAACAAGTTGTACTTTAGTTGTCAAAGGGAAATAAACTTTTGCTTATCGTCAAATGTATTTTCGCTTTTGCTTATGAAAGTACTTAAGAAAAATTATTACCTTAATGTGTATGAGAAGCAAACTCTTGAAATTCTTCTTGTTTGCCATATAGAGTAAAGCGAAGCCATAGAAATTACTTTAATTAAAACTATGTTGGTCACTCGATTCGATTCGTAGTAGAAACATGACTGGATGTCTGTTTTTAACAATTATGTAGTGAATTTTAAAGGCTTGATAAGGCATTTCTCGATAAGCAAAAAAGCCATTAGGCATATGGTTCGCCACATTCGATTAGAATTTATATGCAGTCGATTTGACGCCTTTATTTATTATTGGAAATTTGTTTTATGACTTTTAATGAAAATCCGAAATGATTTATTATAATGAAATGCAGTTAAAATTTGTAGAGATAGATACCAATTACTTATGTATTTCAGTGCCTCCTCTCATTGTTCCAGACATTCAATTATATATAATTGAAGTGAATATATAATTATTTAAGTGAAGCATAGTTCACGTATCCAATATTAAATGGAGTATTTATATGATAAACAAGAAGGTATGTCTACTTGAATATCTCTGTATATCGAAGTCAAATTGCGGACAATTAAATTTCCCGAGGTTCATCGAGTTTTGACAATGTTCTGGCTGTGAAAAGTTTAAGCCCGTCGCCTTATTTGGTTCATTTTTCAATAAATCTCTAAGGCCTTGGAAGATTATCGTATGTAATGTGTGTAATGATAGACAATGTCGCGTGCTTAAGCACCAATAAATATTGAACCAGTAGTAGACCTGGCTCTGTCTGAAATGAATGTCAGCACCAAAATAATATTGTAACATATTCCGTGTCAAAAATACAAATCACAAACGAGTCTTGCAAATTAGAATTATTTCAATTAACGAAAGATGACTGTATACAGTATGTATGTATGTAAGTATGTATGTATGTATGTAGATATTTAGCTGACGCATGGCGAGCAAATGTTTTGGGGCATAAGAGAGCAGACACGTTGAAGTTGATGTTCTTGACTGTGTTTTGCTGACTGTTCGTTCATCTGACGACTTCTGCTCGTTTGGACCATGCTAATGAGCTGGACAAATGTCGAGAGAGGTATGTATATTCGTCGAATACATTAAACCGCAAACACACACATCCCCAGCATCCAGAATTGTTATTTGCCTGTTTGTTTGCCTACTTTATATGCGTCGAGCATAGAGCTTTAACTTTCAATACAAATTCTTGACCCGATTCACCGGATGGACGTGCGGATGAGAGTTTCATAAAGTATATATATATATATATATATATATATATATATGTGTGTGTGTGTATGTATGTATATATGTAGAAGATGAAAACCGCCTGCGCAAAAGCACTTGGCTTATTGGTTGTATCCACTTGACTTGCCTTGGCCCAGATACTCAAACTTAGAACCCGTTAACACCTCAAGTTCCAATCAGTCTTCTACTGCCTTTAATCAAACGGCAACTTTTCAATACTTATCGAAGTAAAAGTCTACGTTTCTAGGAGCTAAGTCAAACGTGTTTAGCTTTATCGCTGAAGTAGATTTTACGTTTGTTATTAAAATGCTAATAATTGTTGACTATTTTTAGACATTTCATTTAGCTGACCCCCATTAAATAAGAAACCTGTCAACCCACAACACAATCAGATATGGCAAAACAAGTAAAAGGGCTCCTGTCGAGAGAGTTTGACCGGGAGTTACCCTGAAAACATATTAAATCGATTGAAACACAGGTTATTTTTTTAAATTGTCCAAGGTTGCTTGTTTCTTATCATCTTATCTTGATGAAATTTGTGCAGTTCATCAATCAGCTATCAAGGCTGTGCCATAAAAATTATGTCTATTATTACTATCGGAAATCAATTCTCACGAAATTTGAGCAGTTATCGATTAGAGATATACCTGCGCGAGTTATACAAGAAATAATATCAAATTTAAAGTATTTAGCTCTTAAAGTATCTAAGATAGACAGGACTATATCAATTCGGCTGTTGATGCTGATCAAGAATATATATGCTTTATGGGCTCGGACATAATTCCTACTGCTTGCTACATACTTGGCATAACGTCATATAATCCTTCAATATATATATTTCCAGGGCATAAAAATCAATCAAATGTCATTAATAAAGATTAGAATGCGTAATTACCAAAAACTTTCCAGTAATTTTTCTAAATTAAGAAATCAGTTGGTGTCATAGCCAGATTGGATGTAAATAACCGATTTGGCCATTAGCTAGCAACTATATCTAATCTATAGCCAGTTCCAAGAAAAGACTGCTGGCACCTGATAGTAAAATCTATTTCGATTGTTACACATTTTTATAGATGCCTTCTAATCTAATAAATGACTAGCAAAAAGTCTATCACTTCCCTAGTTTCAAGAAATTTGGATAATTGCCAAATAATCTCGGTCGTGATAAGATTAACAGCTGTTAGACACTAACAACAGTAGTTTGACTTGTAAACCGAAATCTAACAGCTCAGACTTTGATATTGTTTATTATATTTTGTTTGACGCACTCTGCAATTTGATAACTTATCGCAGCACTCACAAAATGATATATGTACATATATATTTTTGATATATTTGCACTGAAACGTAAATCTTTAAGCACACAAGTGAAAGATGAAGAAGAAGAAATAAAACTAATAATCAACTTTGTATTGGAGCCCGCAGCGTGACGCGATTTTGCTTTTGTTAAAAGCGAGAGTGATATATATATAATATAAATATTTACATTTTTATATTATATATATATATATGTATTTAAATATGATACATGCGACAGATGATTAAGTATCTGTTGGTTCAAATGAGGCGTTTCTATGCAGTCAGTGAAACAGTGTGTGAGTCATGTGTGCTGATAAGAATCGCTTGGAACCACTCCGAGTGAGTACCTGCTGCAATGTTTACAAACATGCTAATCAATAGCATGTTTCCGCCCCACACTCAACGCGCGCAGCACTAGGCAATATCATCATCATTTGCAGCGGGGTGCGCTAATTTGTTTATCTTATCTGTCTACACAAAGAGAAATTTTAATATTATATTATAATAATGTGAAAAATATAGAAAATTGTGTGCAGCATTATATGTACTTGATTTAAGTCTTATGTTAAACTTTCAAAAGTCTATCAATATATTTCTCAAGAGAATTTATGCTTTAAAGCATATAGAAATTACAATGTGATTACAAAAAAATAAAATCTAACAAATTATGTGCAAAATTATATAAATAAACTTGACTTTAAATCTATACAAAATAAAGTCTGTCAATATATTGATCATGAGAATTTTTGCTTTAATGCCTGTAGGTTATGTTAATACACTTTAGTCGCAATCAATTTTGAGCAGTGTACAGCAATTTTGCATTCTGTTTTGGCAAAATGAAAAATGTGAAATTGCGATTAAGTCGTAGAAGCGCCTATTAAGTAATGGACATATGATATATCTATGTATATATGGATAACAGCTGTTATCGAGTAGTAGCAGTAGTAGGTGAAGCTGGAAGCTGAATCTCTAACAGAGTTACGAGTTGCGAGTTATGAGTTAGTTAGCAGAGCGAGTTTGGCTTTGCAGAAGAAACTATGGAAACTATGGGACCCTGATAAGTACATTGAACCGAACTGCTGGCAGATAATCGTCGCAAAAGAAAAAAAACGGGTTTGCAGCGCAAAAATCTTTGAGTGGACTACGTTGCTATCAATCAAAGTCGCATCATCAAAAGCCAAAAATCAAAGAGCTGGGCGTTGACCAGGTCGACTGATATAGCCTAGCTATGACTGAAGATGCTTAGATTACATACATACAAACATTTTATAATGTTTGGGGTGCTGTTATTTCCGCTTCAGCTAATGAAACCTTCACCCGTAAGCTACGCATATGAACAATTTGGTAATACTTAAAACTATTACTCAATCTTTAGGCAATAATCAACAAAAAACAACCATAATACAAAGCTAGCAACAAAAAAAAAGTAAAAAACGCTATGGTTATGTTAATAAATTCGACAACAATAAAGCAACGCAGTCACCGCTAATTCAATGCATTGTCACTGTCCCTCTCCCCCTCCCCCGGCTCCACCTGCTCATCTCTAGAGCTGAGTGTGCTTGTTTCGTGTTTTTCTTACACTCCAAACTCATCACGATGTGTTAAAAATCACTCTGACCTATGAAACCGAGAGCTATGGAGAGTATAATTAATATATACTAGCTAAATGGGGAAACTATTAAAGCAAACGTTGCGTTGTTTGTTTTGTTCCACTTTTAACGGCCTCTCATTTTTTTTTTTGCAACATTGGAAAAGCTCAAATGACCCAACAATATTGTCAAAAGCTCGCCACGAGCGAACATGCCAAATTGACTTCCGTATTTGAAATCACAGTGAACGCAATGCCCGTTTACCAAGCAATTAACTTGATGACATATGAAAATTAATACATACAAAAATATTTGCAGTTTGTTGCACGTGTTCGTATATAGTAAAAAAAATAACATAATTCAACACGAAGCCATTGCAATATTTTACACAAATAAACAAAAATCTAGACTACTGCATTTTTGCACGTGTTCGTGTATGCTAAAAAAAATAAAATGCGACACGAGCACATCGCAATTCTTTTACATCTCTTTCTCTCTCTGTGTCTCTCTCTTGCTCTTGGACCTAACTTACCTGCAGCTTAGTCGCGACGTCGACGTCAACTTGGCGAGTAAATTTGTTAATTGAAGCAGCGACTGAGGCGACGACAGCGACGCAATCAGCTTCGTCGGTCAGCCTGAAGACAGCGACAAAGTTGGCGTTGGCGATGGGACGATGGCTAATGCTTTAGCTGTGGCTATTGTTGGACCAGGGTCAAGCATAATTACTAGATGGGCAAAGCCACACGGGTCTATTTGCCTTTATTGAGTTTATTTTTAGTGTTTGCACATAATTAATTTACGTTTTGTTGACAATCCAAACAGAAATTACGACAATGATTTGTAGTTATTCTTATTATTGCTGTTGTTGTCCAAAAAGAATTGCAGTTGCCTTGGGTGAGCCAGTGAGCCTCGACCGTATATTATTATTAGCCTTAATTTAACGCAGCCTAAGCTCTTTTCATTAGTCATGCAGGCCAGGTATTACAACAACAACAACAATAAATCAGACAACAGCAGACTATGCGTTTATTTCTGGCCCAATATGCAATGTGTATTCGCGATTTTTTTCTTTCCAGTTACTGCAGCTATTTTATTGGCCGCTGTTGCTTTCGTTAAACAGTTTTATGGCACACACTTTTATTGACTAATGCACTTTGCCGCAAATGCGTTTGCATTTAAATGCCTTAAGAATTTAGGGTTTTAATCTCATTAAAATTAATCTCAAACTAAAGTTTTTTGTTTACTCCGCGAGTGACGAAGGGGTTCGAGTCGCCGTCTTCGCCGTCCGCAAATCGTTTTTCGTTCTGCTTCTTCCGTCTACTACTACTAATCGTGATAACCACCCTGTTGCAATTAACAGCTTGCATAACAGCTAAATGTTAAATAACATTCGCTGTTGCTACATTTTAAATAACATTCGATACTAAGCTGTTATTGGCACCAAGCAGTCACTGCTATTTTCAAAAAATATACATGTCTGCTCAGTTGAACAATTCTCACAAGACAATTTAGGGTTATTATTAATACATAAAAATATATATTGCTACACATTTTTGCGTATAATTTCCACTGATAATAACAAAATGTTGCATCTGCTCAAGAAATATCGTTTTACAGTATGCACTTAACCCATCGAATGTTAACTCTACAGAAATCAACAGCTGCGCAACTGTTGGCAGTTCCGAACGCGTGCGTTGCTGCAACTATCGACAAACTTGTGTACGTCAGCTGCAGCTGTCAAATGTTATTCACAAAAAATTTTCACCAATCGACGTTGTTATTGTGCGCTTGCAAGTGGATATTTGTTTGTAAATTCACAATTAAAGCATAAAGTCAAATAAAACGCATATGCTTAGCATAAGTGGTGTGCATAAATGTTGCATGCATGTAATGCACTAGGTGTCGCTCGTTCAATAAACAGGCCGAAACAACAGCAGTAGCTGAAACCGAAAAGCCAACAACAACAGAACGCATAACTATGTCATTTGTTGGCGGTGGGGTGGTGGGCGGTGGCACCGATGTGCACAAATTTGTTGAGGCCCTTCAGGCAGACTTCAAGACTCTCTCACTTGAAACCAAGAAGAAGTATCCGCAAATAAAAGAGGTAAGTGTGCTCAGGGTCATCATTTGGCTTTTTTTTGCTACCAGCAGCTGCTTCTGCTGCGGCGACCTCCTGAATCCGCTGACGTGTGCATCATTTGCGGCGATTTGTCATGCGGAGGGATAAGGTTGGAGGGGGCGCTCTGTGTGTGTGTGCTGTGTGTGTGGCGGGGGTTGGTGACGCCAGCGTTGAGAGGGTTGCTTTCTAGTCGGTTTTGGGGGTTTTGTTTGACTCTTATGCTGCACCTGTGTGTGTGTTCTGTGTGTGTTCGTGCGACGCAATTATGAAATTGATATCAGACCGGTCAGAAAAAAAATGAAATTGATTTTATGACCCTTGCAATAATTGAATTGAATAGAGCAAGGCTCATCAATAATAAGCAAGGTAAAACTCTTTCAGTTGTCAGCTTAAAAAAAACACGACGAATTTCAAATACTCTCTCAAATTAAGACTATATAAAAAGTGAATTTTCTTGACAAATTAATAATTTTTTTTTTAATGCTTAGAAAACATTTGTTTCTAATTTATGTTCTTCTTACAAAACTGAGTACCCCGTAATTAAGATAATAAGTACAGAAAGACAAATGTAAACAATGTTTATTGATTTTGTACTTACTAACAAGTTTCGGTTTTTTTTCCGTTCTTCAGGCATGCGAGGAGGCAATTTCCAAGCTGTCCACCGCTGGGAGCAGCCAGCAAAATTCGGTTTACTACACCGTCAATCAGATACTCTATCCGCTTGTGCAGGGCTGCGAAACCAAAGACTTGAAAATAATCAAGGTGAGTCATTACCATTATAACAGCCAGATTCAACTAGTTGTTAACAACCGTCTTTTCTTACCACAGTTCTGTCTGGGCATGATGCAGCGGCTGATTACACAGCAGGTGGTGGATCAGAAGGGTTCACTGTATATAACCAATGCATTGTGGACCCTGATGGAGCACAACATTGAGGAGGTTAAAGTGCTGCAGACAGTAACGCTGCTGCTGACCACCAATCTGGTGGTGCATGGTGATACTCTGGCCAAGGCATTGGTTCTCTGCTTTCGTTTGCATTACACCAAGAATCCAACGATTGTGAATACTGCTGGTGCCACAATAAGACAGCTTGTTTCGCTGGTCTTTGAGCGTGTTTATCTCGAAAAGGATTCGTTGCCCAGTCTACAGCAACAGCAACTGTTGCAACAGCAGCAGCATCACCAGCAGCAGCAGCAGCAGCAACAACAACAACAATCCGGTTCGAGCAGTCCCGATGCGGATAGCAATAGCACACAGGATGGCCAGACGTATGCCATGGACGCATTTCATCTGTTTCAGGATCTGGTGCAGCTGGTCAACGCTGAGCAGCCCTACTGGCTTCTCGGCATGACTGAAATGACGCGCACCTTTGGCCTCGAACTGCTCGAAGCGGTCCTCAGCAATTTCAGTGCAGTATTTCATGAGGTAAAAAAAAAGAGAAAATATAAACCAGAATTATACTTTAGCTATGCTCATTTTCCCCCCACAGAATCAAGAGTTCCGTTTGCTGTTGAAGGAACGCGTTTGTGCCTTGGTCATTAAGCTATTCTCGCCGAATGTGAAACATCGCCAGTTGCCAGCACCGAGCAATGGCACCGCCACCGTTCCAGCGGATAAACCTTACTTTCCCATAAGTATGCGTCTGCTGCGTCTGGTGGCGATTTTAATACAAAAGTATCACACGATATTGGTAACGGAATGTGAGATCTTTCTGTCGCTGATCATCAAATTTCTGGATCCGGATAAGCCGTACTGGCAGCGTGCTTTGGCCTTGGAGGTGATACACAAGCTGGTCACACGCTCCTCGCTGATTGCGTTCTTCTGCAAGTCGTACGATCTGAAGAATCATGCCACGCACATTGTGCATGATATGATTGCTGCCATGGGCAGCTATGTGCGTTATGCATTGATCAATGCGTCGGCGGTTCTCAATTCAAATGGGGGACAACAGACAATTGGCGGCGCTGGACAACAGACAACGAGCACGCTGACAGCGCTGGCCAGCGGTGGCAATAATCAGTGTGGTTTTATGTTCCGTGGCGCCTATTTGCCACTGTTGGCCTGCTTTGCGCCGGGCCTGTCGAAGGCTGTTTAGTAAGCAAATCATTTCCCTTTTTCGCATTTGAAAAGCATACTTAAATTTGTCTCGATTTTAGCTTGGAATTGCTGGATAAACTGGATGCACCAAATATACCCGATAGCTATGGCATTTCACTGGCTTATGCCATTTTGTTGGAAATGACTTGCTCGATTGGCGGCGTTATACAGCGTACACCGGAATTGCATCCGACACACAATACGGCTGTGATTAGCGACGAGGAGCACAAGCCGTTATGCCTGCAACTGATCAATTCCAGCTGGTCTGGCCTGCTCAGCGCATTCATTCCGCTTGTGGAAACGTCCATCGATGAGGCAACCACCGAGAACATACTGAAGTCCATGCAAAACTATGCAGCACTCTGTGGCAAGCTGGATCAATTGCAGCCGCGTGATGCCTTCATAATGGCCATGTGTCGCGCCTCGTTCCCACCACACTATGCCATGTCCATATTTGCCAACAATGCCCAATCCGATGCAGATCTCAGATGTGAGCATTATCACTCGATTATATAACCCATAAATATTAATAATAAAATTGTATTTACTTTCGCACAGGTCACACTCGCAGCGGCAGTCAGGATCTGAGCAATCAGTTCATAAACAGTTGCAACGCCGATGGCGGCGATTTTCGGCCACAGATTGTGGCAGTTGGAACACCGCTGCCGAGTGCCTCGTTGCCCCACAGCGTGATGCAGGCACCCGTGATGCTGACCAACAAGAATTTGCAGTGTATGCGTGCGATTCTGCAGTTGGCGCAAAACAATGGCAGCATACTGGGCACCTCGTGGCACATGGTGTTGCAAACGTTGCAGCATTTAGTCTGGATACTGGGCCTCAAACCCTCCACCGGTGGCAGTCTGCAGGTGATGCCGAAGCCTGTCGTCGACTTCAATGTGGGCATACAGACGGCAGTTATGGCCGATCTGCCGGTGTTGTCACAGATGATTGGTCAACTCTTCGAATCGAGTCAGTATTTGGATGATGTGGCCCTGCATCACCTAATCGATGCACTCTGCAAACTCTCCCACGAGGCCATGGAACTGGCCTATGCCAATCGTGAACCGTCGCTCTTTGCTGTCGCCAAACTCATGGAAACGGGCCTGGTTAATATGCCACGCATCGAGGTGCTCTGGCGTCCACTCACCAATCATCTGCTCGAGGTTTGTCAGCATCGGCACATACGCATGCGCGAATGGGGCGTCGAGGCCATCACTTATCTGGTCAAGTCGGCGCTGCAATTCAAGCACAAGCAGCCCCTCAAAGAGAATCTGGTAACTGAAGTGTATATTTCTTTAAAAGGAATGTTAACATTTTGTATACATTTTACAGGAATTGCAAACGATGCTGCTGAGTCCACTGTCCGAATTGTCAAGCGTATTGCATGCGGATGTGCGTCAGCGTCAATTGGATTGTGTGCTGCAGATCCTTAATACGGCTGGTGAGATTCTCTCGTTTGGCTGGCCCGCCATCATTGAGATCATTGGCGCCGTCAATGATCATCATGGTGAGCCGCTGATACGCACCGCATTCCAGTGCCTGCAGCTTGTCATCACCGATTTTCTCACCGTCATGCCCTGGCGCTGTCTGCCCTTGTGCATTAGCACAGCGGCCAAGTTTGGCTCCCAAACCCAAGAGTTGAATATCTCACTAACAGCGATTGGACTTATGGTAAGCAAGCAGTAGTAGAATCAGCCAACAATCAAGTCTAAAATACACTATTTACTTTGCAGTGGAACATCTCGGACTTTTTCAATCAAAATCAAGAGAAATTAATGTCCACACAGCTGGAGGATGTGACCATCTTGCCGGACTTTCCGGGTACAGTCAAAATGCCACAATTCGACAAGCTGTGGATGTGTCTGTATGCCAAACTGGGTGAATTGTGCGTCGACTTGCGACCCGCTGTACGCAAATCGGCTGGCCAAACACTCTTCTCCACAATTGCCGCACATGGCAGCCTGCTAAATCCACCCACATGGCAGGCGCTCGTTTGGCAGGTGCTCTTCCCCCTGCTCGACAATGTGCGCGCGCTGAGCAGCTCGGCCAGCAATGAGAAGGTGGATGCCAGTGGCAACATTCTAATCCATCATTCACGCAACACAGCCCAGAAGCAATGGGCCGAGACGCAGGTGCTGACCCTCTCGGGTGTTTGCCGGGTGTTCAACACCAAGCGTGAGCTACTCCAAATGCTGGGTGATTTTGAGCGTGCCTGGTCCTTGATACTCGAATTCATACAGAATGCGGCGCTCAGCAAGAATGGCGAAGTGTCCTTGGCGGCACTCAAATCACTGCAGGAGATCATGTATCACAATAGCACGGAGCGTGGACTTAAGGACGGGCAGACGGCACAGCAGCAGGAGGATGAAATCTGGACGGTAAGTGCTCAACTCGATGATGACTGTTGAAAATGTAAAACATTTGTTAAATTCCCATCGATTGTTTAATCTTTGCTCAGATTGCCTGGAACATTTGGCTAAGTATTGGCATGGAGAGCACCAAAATGTCGGCGAGCACACGGCAATTGTTGCCCGGCGGCAATGATGGTCAAGAAGATTTCTACATTCCCAGTCAGGCATTTCTCACGGCACTCATACAGATATTTCCCGCCATTTTCCAGCACATTCAAGACAGGTAAAAACTAATATTCCTAATTTGTATTTAGAATTAATTAATACAAAACTGTTAAACATCTTTACACACAGATTCAGTGCAGCGGACTTTGACAAGTTCTGCACGGTGTTGACGAATGCGGTTTGTATACCGGTGCAAACGGATGCCGTTCCTTACATAATGTCCACCGTGTCGGATACGCTGCTGACGCCACTGCACGATGGCATACTCGAGTGCATGGAGCTGATACAGAAGGAGGCGACCAGACCAGAGACGGACACGAGTACGAGTATAAGCCAACTGATACCCGCCATCTTTCGCCAATTGTTGATCTTTAGCAAGTTTGCGTGTGCACCGCCCACATTCCAGCAGAGCGTCGTCGAGCATAATAAATATGGCAAGACGAGCAATCATTATGGCAACAATGCATCCATCGAGGTGGTCAGCATGAACTACATACCGTTTGGCGAGAAATCGATTAGCATTTGCGTGAAGCTATACCAAAGCACGGCCACCGAGGAGCCGGTGGTGCAGGAGCAGATACTGCACGATATTATCAAGGCGCTGCGCACCCCACTGGCCATGAAATACAAGTGTCTCTCGTCCAGCACCTGGAAGCTGGCCATCTCCAGTTTGATCAGTGTGCTGCATACGGGTTTGAAGGTGGCACGTGCCAAACCGCAACATTTTGCCAGCCTCTGGGATGATTTGGCCGATACACTGGACAAGTTTCTTTTTCCCGTCAGCGTGTGCACAATCGAGGATCGTGGTCTCGAGGAGATCGTTTTAGATGAGACCATCGATTGTCAGGTGATTGAGCTGCTGCGCGATGAGGTGCTCCCGTTTGCCCATGAGATGCCACACCAGTTCATCATGCAGATTGTTGTGCTGCTGAACAAGGGTTCCATACACTCCGCCTCCGATAGCAACATCTGCTACGAATCGGATTGGAAGCTGCGCGAAATCTTTGCCAAAACATGTTTTGAAACGCTGTTGCAGTTCTCGCTGCTCGAGGATCAGGCAACGGCTACCGCCTCCAATAATAATCGGCTCAATGCCAACTTGCTGCCCACGGGCACCGCTGGCATTGTTAACAAGGACTTTGCCGGCCGATTGGCAGTCACGGCGCTCCTGCATCGCTTCCAGGAGGTTCTCAAGCGGTTTAACGATGATGAGCGCCAAAGTGGCAAGTGCCCGTTGCCCAGGTTAGTGTCTGATCCGCAAGACTCAATTTTAAACTACTTTCATCTTTATGCTAACAACAATACCAATATTTCAGATTCCGCCTATCGGAAATCTCATTTGTGCTCAAGGCCATTGCCACACTTGTGGTCTCCATGAAGAAAGCACCAGCATCCAAAGGTAAACTTTGGCTAATCAACTCAATATATAGAAAATTCAATCATATGTTTGTCTTACCATAGTCAATAAGCCAGCGTGGGATTTGCTGATTGGTCTGTATCCGTATTTGGTGGACTGCACCACAACCACATCGCCGGAAGTGTCTCGTTCGCTGCGCGAGGCACTGCTGCAATACACGGATCTTCTGCAGGCGCCACGCACCCTCAATGACAATGCGATACAATCGAATGGGCAGCAGTGAATTGAAGGGTAATCGAGTGTGTGGTATTCGTTTTTAAGTTGATTAAGCCAACGTCCTTTTGAATACATATATATATTTATATAAACGTACATATTTATTTTGTTCTGTGCATAGGTTTACACAAAAAAAAAAAGAAAGGAAATCTAAAACAATGTTATGTATGATCTATCTGCTTATAGCCACTTTCCCCTCCCCGAGTCCCTTATATACATTTATATTTGTAAAAGTATTGTAGTACGGCTAATAAGAAATAAGTATATTATTATCTACCAAGAGTTTACAATTAAAGCTGTCAAGAGCTGCACGGCTCGATAAGATAAGATGGCACCATGCAAAAAAAAAAAGCAAAAAAACTAAAAAAAAAAAAAGCAAGCAAAAAAATCTTGTAACCCACTATGCAGCTTTATCTGGCAGAAAAAGACAGAAACAAATATTTCTTTAGTACCTTTATGAGACGCTGTTTACTGATATGATATGATATAATATGATATGATAACAACACATTGAGAGCTGTGCGTATAGCGCATTTTAAACAACCTTGCGTGTTATCTAAAACAAATATTAACACTTATTCATGATGCAACAACTTTGTAGTGACGTTTTTAAATAAAGCAAAAATTATTATTATTAAGTAATCGCTGTTTTATTTGAAGTGTGTCTGTGTGTGTGTTTTTGGCCTTCCATGCACAATGTTTGCTTATCGCCACTGCATTGAATCAAATTCTTTAGCCGGAACGTGCGAATAAATAATATTCCATTGTGGATTTAATAGAGGGGTGCGAATTGCAGTTAACATAAAAATACTTCAGAATACTTACATCTTGGGGCGGGCTGTCTGGCTGTAAATTGTGTTTATAAATTGGAGGAGAGTGCAAAAGATTTTAATCTAAATAAAATTTTTATTTTAATTTGTTTTGTTTTCATTTTAATCGGTATAATAAGTATAATAACATTTTTTGTTTGTTCTTATTTGTTTTTCCTTCATTATTATTTTACCTGTTAATTTTAATGTTTTTTTAATATAGTTTTTTTTCCCATTTTTGGTTTTTGTGTTTTTTGTTTTTAATATTAGAATTAGGCAATCGAGTTAATACTACCTTCGTTTTAAATATTATGCAACGAATTGGGTTTTCTTTTGTTTTTTTTTTTTGGTTTTTTTTAATTTATTTTTTATAATTATGAATTTTTAAATGTATATTTAATAAACTCATTTCCGTTCTGGCTAAGCAACATTTTCATTTGGACTCTTGTAGCGAGCCAAATGTTGCTTCTGGTTTTTGTTTACTTTTTTTTTAATTTATTTATTTTTTATATTTATTTTGCTGTGCCTTTCAACTCATTTGTTTTTTGTAGTTTTTTTTTATGTTTTGTTTTTAGTTTTTATGCCGTGGGCGCTAAATGTACAGTTGCCTTGTAAAAATGTACAATTCAAGCGCTTGCTTTTAAAATATTTTTTGGTTTTTTGTTGTTTCCGTTTTTATTAAATGTTACAATTACTAATTTAGTTTTAGCTGAAAGTCGCAATCACCTTAATAAATAGCCGCATTTATATATAGATATATATATAAATATATATACATATATATGTATATATATATATATTAATTTATATATATATCTGTAGCGTTAATTAACCTTGTGTTCTTGTTATGTTTAGGTTTTCTTTTGAGGGGAGGGGTCTTAGATATAATACAATTGTTTTTATTACTCGTGTGGATTGCAATTTGATTTTATATACTTAGTTTTTAACTGGGATTCGATTTTTTTTTTGTTATATGTTTTGTTGTTTCTGCTAATATACGGTAAGTTGTGTGTGTGTTTGTTTAACAATTTAGTTAGTTACTAGTTACTAGCATCATGAGAGTGACGACATTTGCGTGTATTTTAGTTTGGGCTACACTTGAAAAAAAACCTCTGCACATATGCATAAAATATACATATGCACATCTTTAATAATTTATGTTATAATTTTGTTAAACAAAATGAACGCAAATGTTTTCAGTGCTAAAAACAAGTGTATATTTTGTTGTGTTTCACTTTATTTATATATATAAATATATATATATATGTATGTGTGTATGTATATGTATATATGTAGTATATATAGAGAAATCGGTAGATTAGGCGTTAAGAGCGCAGTTTTCATGAAATTCGTTAAATTTTTTTGGTTGATGAAATTTTTTTTATGTTGTATTTATGTACGTATGTATTTGTATTATTATTAATTTTATTATTTTTATTTTAGTGTAGCTTTTGTGTTAAATTTATTAAACTCTTTACAATACTTTACTTAGCTAAATTGTTGCTGGTTTTATTTTTTGTTTTAATGCCATAGCCATACAAAATGTCGTGTTTGAATTACATATATGCTCTATATATATATATATGCATGTATGTGTGTATATATATATATATTTGTAATCGTTTTTGTTGTTGTATCTTTTTTAGTTTAATGAACACTTTGTTGGGTTCAATTCAATATTAGTTTAAAAAGTTGCATTTCTTTTTCTCATTTCGTCCATATTTAGTTTTATAGTTAGAGTTTAATGTTTAATTTAAGTTTAGCGTTGGTTTTAAAAAAGTTGCTCATCGAAATGAATATATGTGTATATATATATATATATATATATGTATATATATAGTTAAGAAGCGCTGTGCCCTGTTGACTTGTGATTTTGCTATTATATATATATATATATATATATATATATATATATATATGTATGTTGAAGTACTATTTCCTATATTAATTGCTAAAAATCATAGTTTTTCTCTATAGCAATCAAACACAGTATTTTAGTATTTTGCCTAGTTGCAGACGCCTGTATTTCATATTGCGAGAATATTTGCATATATATATATATATATATATTTTTTTTTTATATATATCGGACAGTCAAAAATAAATCAAAACTTTCGCCAAATATGTTTGTTGTGTGTGATGTGTGTGTGTTTTTTAAGGCTATCTATGGTTAGTATGTGTGTGTGTGTATTTATTTTTTAAGTTATTTTTGTGGGCACTTAATAATTTCTTCTCTCTTGATATAACTTCAGGCAGCATCCTTGTTAAGATTCTAGCAAAAGATTTTCTACATTTTTGGCTGACCGTCGGGATTTCCATAATTTAGCTGATTTTTAATGGATTTCTTGTTGTTGTTGTTGTTTTTCTATTTGCTGTGTTGTTGTAACGATTTACCCGTATTCAATAACTGAATTATATAGAGTATTTCATACAAATTGGTTATACGCCTATGTCTGGAGAGGAAGTCACACGTTTCAAATATGTAACTGAGAAATCGAAATTTGATAACGAGAGTTTTCTCTTAGTAAATTGTTCGTCTTTTCTTTAATCTACTGAAACCCTAAGGCATTTTAATTTAATCTTTATACTACTTACAACGGGGACAACGGCAAGAGTTGAGAATAAGACAAAAATCAGACTAAGACTACGACTAAGAACTGGACATATTCAAGATCTATTCAGATGATTCCTTGGCACAGGCATTCGAATTGCCCGGTTGGTTGTTGACTGAGGGACTGAGGGGGTTCAGTTGTTTCCAATTGTTCGATAATTTGAGCGAAACGTGTGACTTGCAATCGATATGCGATCTTTGATCTTATCGATCTTTCATTAATTATCGAGCCTACAATTGTTGTAATTAATTTTCTTATTTGTGTGTATAAATTGTATTGCCTATTTGATGTTAGCTTCTTGAGTGTTGAAACTGAAATTATCAAAAGTGAGACGCTTAATTTATCTAGTTAGTATATGCTTGTTGTTGTTGTTGTTGCTGTTTGTGTGGCTGTTGCTGTAATTCTTGAATTGTTTAATTGATTTCTTGGTTTCATCAATGGTTCCAAATTGTAATAACGTGGCTTATAGCTAATTAAAAATACCTGCCTATCATAATATAATTTAGGAAATATGGATATATTATATATATATATATATATCCATATATATATAAGTTTTACCTAGTTTAAGTTGTTTATTTTGTTATTATTATTTGTATGAAGCGCTTAACGCGGGGAGTAAAATTGTGTGCCAGTTGTTGTTCTTGTTGTTGATTTGTTATCGATAACAATCGTAATACATATCATAATGTAAATAATCGAAAAGAAGGCGTAAATAAATCGTTTCAAATATACTGAGGAGTTTTTAGGATACACGATGTGTTTTTGTTCAGGCTTTGTTCTTGTTTTCACTGTACATAAAAAAAACATACAATACTGCGTATGTACTTTTTGTATATAAGTGTATATGTATATATATATTATGTATAGTTTCTAGTATATAGCAATAGTTGACGAGTGTTTCAAAGTTGTTGTTGTTGTTGTTCTTGTATTATTTGTTGTAGTAAGTATGTTGTTCATCATCTTCATCTCCTTCTTGTTGTTGTTGTTTTTTGTGGGTAACATTACGTCATACATTATAGCAGTAAATAGGTATCGTAGCTGTTTATGTTTATGTTGTTGTCGTTTCTCGTGTTGTTGTATGTATAAGCAACGTGGGTTCACTTTATCAGTTCAAGAGGTTATGTGTCATATACACATGTGTGTGTGTCACAGAGAGTGTGTATGTGTGTGTGTGTGTGTGTGTATGTGGTTAGAAAGGAGTGTTAATAAACCAAAGCAGTTGATTTTTAGCGGATTTTGTCAGTTGTATACGAAACACATATACATATATAAGGACATATACATATACATATATACATATCTATATATATTTATATATATAACATAGTCACAAATAGTCGTTACACAAATAAGCCACAAACTGTACAACAATTGTACATGTACAATAAAAATAAAAAACTTATACACAAAACCCTAAAAATTTCATAATTCTCGATATCGATATCATCGATATCGTTTGCTCAATCGAGTGGTACGATTACGACGGTTTCCAAAAGTGTTGCCAGGCTATTTAGTTGATCCTATATATATATATATATATATATGTATATATATATGTATATATATATATCGAATATCGAATATCGAACATACACACACGATGTTTCAGTTTTTTTAGCATTCTTTTTGTTTTCTCATTTTGTCGTATATAACAAGAACGGATATTATTATTATTATTATTTATTAGTTTATTATTTTACTATACAAATATCTCATGTTTCTCATCATAATTTATTAATTTATGTTTATTTTTATTTACTGAGAACACAGTTTATACTATATAAATATTTAAAGCTTTGGTGGCGGCAAAGAAAATGTGAGAGAATTAAACAAACGTACGTATAAAAAATGAAATCAAGGATTTATAGTTTTAGTTTTAGATGAAAATTGAAGACCGCTTTAGTATTTAACTTGGTTTCCTTTTATACACATACATACATATACAACCAAAAATGTTAACAACTTACACAAATCAAAAATAATTTAACAGTGTTTTTCTTTTTGATTTTGCTTTTGGGTTTCTTCTTATAGTTGTTATTTTCATTTTTCCTTTTTTTTTTGCTTTTGTTTACCAAAAATGAGGCAAAGTCGTCATAATCATAATTATAATCATAATCATAATCATAATCATATTTGATACAATACAATATAGTTTAAGCAATTAGTACTGAACTTTACAAGTTTTTGGCAGTACGCATTTGTTGTATTTTCTTTTATTTTTAAATAGTTTAAAATTATGCAAATATACAATGTAGTTGTTGTTTTGTCGCTCTATAAATATATATATGTATATCTCATATATATTAATTTTTATTTTATTTTATTTATTAAAATATACTCATAACGCGCTACTTAATTGTTTAAAAAGTTCATTATTATATTAACTAATATTAATAAACAAATTTTAACATTTCTCGTTCAACAGTTTTTTGTTTTTTAATTTTTTGTTTTGGTATTTTTTGTTAAGTTGTTATTTTTTTGTTGCATTTTTGCTTTTGGTTTTTTTTTGTTCTCCTCCAATTTGAAGAATTTCGGTTTACGCACCCAAAACTGAAACACCCCGGAAAAAACTAGCTACAAATGATAAGCATATGTATATATATAGTAAATAAATACGCGAGACTGCAGACGGAACCCTCGGCGTTATATTTTTTTGTAGGTTATGTACAACATTTTTGCGACTTCTTTACTTTTTGGTTTTGCAAGATGGCGAATATTCCTACGTATGTATGTATGTGTGTATTTTTTTCCTTTTTGAGATAGTGGGGCGTGTGTGTGTGTATGTGTGTGAGACATCTTTAGTAGTTGTATTAGTAGTAGTAGTTGTAGTCGTAGTATTATATTATTATTATTATTATTATTATTATGTAGTAATAGTAGTTGTAGTACTGCGGGTTCGATGTTGAGGGGGGTGTGGGAGGGGGGGTTTCTGGACCGTCATCATTAATCCACCCCATCATTGGATGCTGCTGTTGATCGCTTTAGTTTAATTACTAGAGTTCCGATTTAGTGTTCATTTAACTGCTATCACTTTTCGTTTGTTAATGTTAATTTTCTTTCGCTTTCATTTTAATATTAAGTTTTTTGTTTTCCTTCTCATTTTTTTAATAATAAAATACAATTTGACTAAACAAAGTTCTTTCATACAATATTTTAAGATGTTGAATGGGTATAAAAGGAAATGGGGGACGGGAAGCAAGGGTTTGGACTGATGGTTTAAGAACGGGTAGGGGGAATGGGGTAGAGAGAAGGTGGGGGGTGGGTTCTGTGACAACACTCATTTCGCTAATTGTATGTTTATTATGTATATAATATAATGCTTTCTTCTCAATTTGTATTTATATGCGCAATATTTCGTTTCTTGAGGCTGTCTTTAGGAATTTTAATCATAATTTCTCCTTTTCTTTTTCCTGCAATAGAAACAAATTGCAAAATCGCATATGAGTCAAGAGAATCGAGTCAAGTGGCAACTAGAAAACGTATTCGACTTAAGATCAAGGATTTAAAACAAAAAACCAAAAAACTAAAAGCATATTAAGGGTTCGGCAATCAATCAATCCAGTTAGTTAAATCTCAATCAATACATATAAGAAACATTTTACTGACGGCAATCAAAATCATAATATTGAATAATTCAAAATAAAATCCAAATTTAATACTTTTTTTTTTGGTTTGTTGCTTGTTTTTTTTTTTTTTTTTGTTGGTTGGTTGTTGCTGGTACAAACATTATGCTACTTGTTGTTGTTAATATTATTATTGTTATAGTTGTTGTTGATGTTTTACATTTATACGGTTGATTTCGTTTATAGGTAGGTAGGTGGAACTGAATTGATGTTTATTTTTTGCATTTAGTAGTCAGCTGTAATTTATAATGGGTGGCAACCATAGCGAGCGAAAACGATAGCGACAACAATCGATTAAACCAATCGATCAATCAAGCTGCAGGCGCTGTTGCATTTTTACCTATTTACTTATGCATTAAATTTTTTATTTACTTATTGCGAATTTTATCAACTACAGTTTGTTAGTTATACGGATTGTGATGTTTTTTTTTTGTTTTTTTTTTTTTGGTAGGGGGAGGAAATAAGAAAAGAATGAAATACAATTTGATTAGCTTCACATGATTATTTAGCTACACAATTTTCTTGGCACTACGAATTTCGACGAATTTTTGTACGTGAAAAGCTCAATTAACTGAAAAAAAGGAAGCGCTTAGCACATGGACACATAGAGATGGTTCCAATCCCAAATATATATTTTTGTGTATATATATACATATATATATATATATAGTTTTTGAAATCTTGGGCAGATCTGTAGTTGCGAAATAATACTGTTGCGCATACATGTTGCACACATATGGCTATGTGTGTGTGTGTGTTTGTGTGTGTATGTCAGTGTGTGTGTGTGCTGGGGACAGGACGATCTCTATATAAGGTATACATAGCTACTACATAAGCAAATTAAACATAATAGTAAATATATATATACATAGATATATATATATTTGTACATACAGCACTACAATACACAGATAGGAGTCATTAAAAATGCGTGTGTTTCATTTGGTTTTTAATTTACATTTGTTGTTTTTTTGTTGTTGTTTTTTTTTATTTTGTAGAAATCAATCTCAAAACGCACAAAATCATAAGCGAAAAATAGCACAAAAGTTCTTGTTGGATTTTCTTTTCTTATTTTTTTTTTTGTTTAATGTAAATGTTATAATTATAATAGTAATCATTTAATTATAATAAGACGCAAAAATCATAAAAATTGTAATAATAATAATAGACTGTAGTAATAATAGCGGTAGACATAATAAAATAACTTTCGTCATAGAATTATTCACAAAATGTACAAGAGCAAAAACAAAACAAGATAAAGTAGAAGAGAAAAGAAAAATAACTGCAACTGCAAACTGAGAACTGAAAGAGAAACCAAAAAGTGCGCAAGAAAACAAATACTTTTTGTGTGTTGGTGTGTGTTTGTGTGTGTGAGGTGTATGTGTGTGAGGTGTGTGTGTGTGTGCGTACAGACTAATTAGATTAAGGGGAAGAGGGGGTGGCGCAAACTACATACATATATAGCTGATACCGATCAAGAAAACAGAGAATGATAAAAAAAGATATAAAAGAGAACGGCAAGAAATTTATTTGTATCGTTTTCTTTTTGTAGTTTGTTGTAGCCGTGTTTGTTTGTTGTTGTTTTGTTTTGTTTTTGTTGTTTGTTTCGTTTGTGTTATTGTTATTAACAAGAATTTATTGCCAACTTTTAAGCTTAGATAGTCGTAATATAATATACATAAGTAACGATAGAAAATTGTGAGTGTGTGTTTGTGTGTGTGTGTGTGTGTAGTTCACTTTCATTCAAGGCGTTGCTAATCATTTTTAAAGTAGAATTAAACAATAAGTACTTAATAACAAAGTTTATAACATGTTTTTCTCATTTTCGTTTCTACGTTCCAATCTTAATAATGCACTCGATATAAATCATAAAGGAAAATGTTCATATAGATGTGTTTAAGTGTGTGTGTGTGTGTGTTGGTGTGTAGGTGTGTGTGTGTGTGTGTGTGTTTAAAAGTTTAAGCAACAGAAAACAAGCGCAGCAAACAAAATGTTTGTCAACTTTTTTCGATATGAAATCATAAGGCATACGTTGTTTTTTCTTTTTTTAAATACATATATAATTATATATACATATATTGTATATTTATATGGCTAGATAACTACGCTCAGTATATACGTGTGTGTGTCTGTTTGTGCATGTGTATGTGTATGTATGTGTGTAGAGTGTGTTGAGTGTTTTGTGTGTTGTGTCAGTTTTAAAGCAAAAATTGATTTTTTTTCGTATAGCACACATTGAATTTTGAGTTTGTTTTTTTTGTTCAATAAATTTATATGTTAAATTTGGTATTTTGTGGCGCGCAAAACAAAAGCATATTCAATGTGTTTACAACAAAAAACAAAAAGCAAAATAAAGCCGCTAAATGTAAAAAATGTATTGTTAACTTTTCGTCTCGTTTTTGGGCTTATTTCGTTAATTTTTTCATTTGCTTTGCGCGCCACACAACAAACAACAAAATAAATATTTTGTTTATAATTTTTTTCCTTTTCTCTTTTTTTTTGTTGTGTAATTATATAAATTGTTAACTAGGGAAATTTTGCTAAATTTATTTTACGGCTGCTGCTGCTGTTTCTGTCTCTGTCTATATATATATATATATATATATATATATATATATATGTGTGTGTGTGTGTATAAGTACGTCGCATGTGTCTGTATGTGTGTGTGTGTATGTATATGTGTATGTGTGTGTGTGTTTGTTGCGCATTGCGAGAATGCAGCTTCAAACGTCTTTAATTTGCAGTTTATTAACTAAAATGTAAATTTTCTGCTGCGTTGTTATACAAATTATTAATTTTTGTTTGTTTTGGTGTTGTTTAATTGTGGACTGCTTGTTGTTGTTGTTGTTGTTTGATGATTTCTTGTATTGTGGCTGTTGTTGTTGATTGTTTGTTGGTTGATTGGTTGGTTGTTGTTGGTTTGTTGATTGGTTGGTTGGTTTGTTGGTTGTTGTTGTTGTTGTTGGCAACTTACTGTTCTTGGGGATCAGTATCACTCTCCTCCAGTTCGCTCTTGTTGCGTCGCTTCTCATAGATGAGAATGATCAAACAGAGAATCAGCACCTCAGCACAGATGCCCAGGAAAGGCCACAAGGCGGCGAATTTACCTAAAAAAAAGAAGAAATTATTATGAGTTAAAAATCATCAGATTCCCTTCCCAGCCAGAGGCGGCACTCACCCTTAACACGAACGGTTGTAAAATCGGTGGCAACGGTGCTATTGTCACCATAATCATTGGCCTCGTTGCGTCCATGGCACTTGTACTCGCCTCTATCGTCCAATGTTACATTCTCAACCATTAGAATGGCATTCTCCACTTTGCTCTCCTCGTCCGGTTTCAGTATATAACGACCTGTGCTATTTGCTACTTGTGAGTAATTGCCTGAATGTAAAACTGAGAATATTAAACATTTTTTTCATTAGGTATACCCTAAAACTAGTATGGGGGAATGAGAAGAGGAGTATCATGAAGTTGGGCGAATCGTATGTAACAGGCGGAATCTAGCATATAAAAGTAGAGTATAAATAATATATATAAGTATTTATATTCTTGTTTAGCATCAGCAGTCGAAGCGATCAACATATTTCCTAATTTGGCATTTAAATTCTCTTCCGTAGTTAAACTTTATTGCATTTTATTGATAACTTCCACAGCATATTGCGAGCATGGATATAAATCGATTTCCGCTAGCAATAAAAGCTACCGTTTTATCGATAACATCTGTTTTGGTCATTTCAATATAAGTCGATTTTCGATAGCAATAAAATGCACTATTTTACATATATAGAATAATACTGATCAACTATAATAATGTTAAGAAACTACGATTTTGTTAGCCTTAACTTATTTTAATATTAAACAAACTGCTATCAGTAAATCTGCTACGTATTTAATAGCTGGGCTTAGGCTATCTACAAGCAGAGAGCTCAAATTTATATTTAAGTTAGAAACGAGTTAGCTGAAATGCATTTTAAAAATATACAAAACTATTTTCTTATTCCCAAAACTACTGTCAGAAGTTCTACTTTCTTCTCCGCTCTTCTAGTCGAGCTCTGCCGACTGGGGCATTCTCACTTGCCTTGGATGATATTATATAACACATTTAATATATATATATATGTATCTCGAAGCCAACACTCACCAAAGCTCCATGACAATTTGGGATTGCTGCCAGCAACCGCGCAGGTGATCATCATTTTCTCACCCTCGACAACACCCGTATTTGAAGGCACTCGTACAACAATGCGAGCTATTTGGCAAGTTCAAAATTGTTTATAATTGGAGAGTTGCAATTGTTTTATTCAGTTGTAGCACTTACCAATCACATGTATATCTTTGGACGCGCCTTTGAACTCACAGCTATAGAGGCCATGATCCCTTTCTTCCGCCCTATCGATGATGAACTTTCTCTCGGCATTGATCAGCCGGAAGCGACCTCTCAGATCTGTATCATCCGTCACATTGACGCCATCCTTTTTCCTATTTGAACGATATATATATATATATATAGCCAGATTAGCATAAATAATACAGTATTTTCAAGTGCTATACAAAGTGAAAGTCATGGAAAAAACCCACTCTTCATTTATATTTGTGTGTACTTCAAATAGTTGACAGGTGAGACTCCAGTTTTATATATATATGCAAATATTTCAAGCGATTAACGGGTAATATACAAGTTTGTTGAACTTGATACACATTTTCGGGGCTGTGAGGCTAGGTGGGTCTTAGCACTCCCTACTACTACTTTGTATTTTTACCCAAATTGCCGAATTGCCTTTATACACTTGCGAGGGGTATGCTAATTTTGTCGTAGAGTTTGTAACATTTCTATCTGTCTGACTGTCTACAATGGCTGAAACTATATATTCTATTTTTTATATTAAACATATATATTATAATATATACTATACTCTATTATCCCTCTTGCTATAGGCAGTACATATAATAAAACCGATCGGAGCGGATTACTATATCAACAAGTGCCTACACAGTTTTTCTTAAATGGAGGTTGATTTATACATTTTTCAACCACTTTGTTCTAAACCTTGGTTTATACGTTCTATTGAAAGTAAATTAAAATATACACAAAGTTTTTGTAAAAACTTATCTTAAGTTAAGTCCAATTTTTGAGTTATCCAATTTTATCAAGTTATCCCAATTAAACTCAGCAGTGATGCGTATTATCAACATCGGACAACTATATAGCATATCTAGCATAGGAACAATCCTTCCATTTCTTTTTAAATATCTGCAAGTGTATCAGAATCTTCGTCGTGTCTCAAATGGCCGTTATTTTTGGTGTTTTCTTTGTTTGCTATTTTGTTGCAAGAACTTTGGTGCCAATTATTCAGGACTAATTCAACATGAGGCACGCAAGTTGCGGCCCTGGCCCGACCAGCAGACCGATAGAGTGTCATTACACACTCACACACACACACACACACACAGCTAGATATATATGCATACAAGCCAAAGTCGGAAGAGGCCCACTCCCTGCTAATATGCACACCACCCACCCCCTCCTCCACCGCTAACCTAACACTGACTTTGCTCTCTCCAGGTTACGTCAGTCAAGTGGTTGGTTAATAGGAGGGAGAGGTGGTGTACCGGGGGGTGGAGGGGCGCAACATAATTAAGCAAAAGTGCTTAGCTGTGCCGTATTAAAATGATTGCTCTTATAACTGCCAGCTACTTGTATATGTATGTGTCTCTCTATGTGTGTGTGTGTATGCTGAGCCAGGGGAACAACTGAGTCCGCTTACAACATATTGGACTGTATTAGAAGGGTAAGGTTGAAATACAACGACAAATTAGAAAAAGGTATTTTTGGAGCCAAGTTTAGTTTGCCAATCATAATTATAATTTCAGTGACGCAAAAAATATGGGCAAACGTAAGCAAATATATATATATATTTATATTTCTGATAAGGATCAAAAGTCGAGTCAATCAAGCTGCAGATTATAAGTTCTCCTATGCCCACTTTACAGATTTATGTGGAACCTAAAAACAAAAAGGTCTGCTCAGATGCAAAAATGTAATGTATTAGTTTTCTCGTCTTTATGGCGATTATAAGTACGCTTTTTTTTTGAAGATTAAAATCATTTTTGATTCAAAGTATATCAAAGTTAATTTATTGACGTCGTTGAACAGCTGTTCACAGAATCCACACAGGTCAACAGTAAGTTAACAGTCGGAAACTTTTTTTGATCTGTAAAGTGGGCTTTATACTAAAGTTCTGTTCAAGTACTAGGTATCGATTACTGCTGCACTATCGATACTTACCATATGAGCGGATCAGTGGAATCCACATTTCTCACATTGCAGCTGAGCACCAGCGGCGATCGAATATCGTAGAATTTCATTTGACGCTCCACATGGTCATAATTTGGCACCAAGGAATCTGGCCCTGAATGATTCCAAAAAGAGAGAGTGAAGAAAAGAATTGCGTTAGTTTGAATATTTACAAAAAAAAAAACATAAAAAACTAGTACACATTTATATATAAGAAAAGAGGAGCAGAAGAGAAAGAATAGGAAACAACGCTTACATAAAAAATAAATTGCTTAAACAAATTTATTACTAAGGTTTGTATGCATATAAGAAAACAACAAAAAAAAGAATATTTTATATGGTATATAATAAGAGTATATTTTGTAGATAAAAGTTGAGAGGCGAGCGCTTAATATATAATGAGAGGTGGGTGGTGGGGGTGTTGCACAGCGTAATCTTTAAACTGGGGGAGAGGGGCGGGGGTGTACTGAGAACGAACAAGTAGAATGAGCTGAGAGATGTTTATTTTTTCTTTTTCTATTTTGTATTTTGTATAGTTGCATTTTCTGTTAATGGATGGCGCTGTGTATTGTTGGCCAGTTTGCAAACTTTCTAGTCGGCTAACGAGTACTTTTCAACTAAAACGAAAACTGAAAGTAAATAGTAAAATAAGTAAAAAAAAAAAATAACCAAGAAAAAATAAAAGGAACAACTGCAAGTTAAAGAGGGCAACAACAAATGATACACGCACACACACACAAAGTCTAAACATACTTAAAGTAATCAGCTAAATAAATGGCAATAAAGTATAATAATAATTTCAGAGATGGTCCACCCAAAATATATAAAACTAGAAATAAAATAAATTAGAAATTAAAAGAAAACAGCATACAATAAGTTCGTTGGTGAATTTGGAATTTTTATTTTCTCCTATTTCATACAGAGATATGTTGTAGTTATATAATTTGTTTAATGATATTTATTTTTGTTTTTGTTTTTTTTTTTTAACTTGGACTGAAATCAAATAAGTTTGATTTACGCGGCGCATATATATATACATAAATATGTATATATATGTGTGTATATGTGTATGTATTGTATATAGATATAAAATTGGTTACAATAATTTACTGTTATTGATAGATCTTGTTGTTAAAGTTAGCGCTGCAATCGAAATAGAGCAATAATCGTTGTTGTTTTGATAGTAGTAAAAATATGTTTATGTATTTAATATATGTCATCAATATTCAGCAAAGCAAAGCAAATGCAAATGTTAAGCAAAAGCAACACAGCTAAATAAGTCGACAGATTAACAACGATAACCGATAATCGATAAACAGTTGTAGGCCACACAAAAAACAAAACCAAAATATACAAAATGCATATATGTATGTGTGACAAATACATATTTTTGTATTTGCTTTGTCCTTATCGCCAACCGGAATAGAGAAAAACAAAAACGAGAAACAAAACGACGACGAAAGCAAAAATCAAACGCAATAAACATAAAGTCGGTGTCACAGTCACAATGGGGGGTGGGGGGACAAAACAACAACGGGGGCTTATCAAGCAGCTCAGCGCCAATTGTAAATTACACATGATTTTTTATATATACGCGTCACCAAAATGGCGGCTGTCCAATCAATCAAATTGACGAGAGCGAGACAAAGGCAGCGAGAGAGTGAGAGGTGGGCGGGGGGGTGTGGGGGATTTCTGTGCACCTGACAGCAGTGTAATTCAAAAACTAAGGTAAACAACAAAATTATATAGAAACACAACGAAGTTATGTAATAACATAGCATTGATGACAGACAAATGAACCAACAACCACACACAACAAATCAAATCATAAATACACAAGTCGCAAGCAACAATTATAAAACAAAAGCTCAACTTGAAGTTTGCCTCTTTGTGTGTGTGTGTGAGTGTATGCGTAGAGGATGATGACATGTGGGCAAAAGAACTGACGAAGGCTTGGTAGCGATTAGCGAGCGAGCGACAGCGATTAACATTTTACAACACCAAGTTAGACTATCGATGAGGGAATTTTCTGAGTAATGAAGAGACGTGCTGATATCGATGGAAGAGCGAGGGTGAGAAAGAGAAAGAGAGGGGCGAGCGAGAGTTACGAGCAAAAACAGCGAGCGGCTTTGACAAAAATTGAGTTTGATGCGAGCTTAATGTGTGAAAACTTGTTGCTGCTGTTGTTCTTGTTCTTCTTGTTGAGAGGTGGGGCCATTTATGAAAACAAACAAAACAACTGACTGAAATGCAAATGTATGTTTGTATGTGTGTATGTACGTATGTATCTAGAGATGAGAGAGAACTGCACGAGTGATTTCTGCATTCCGTTTTCTATTCTTTCTTTTCATTCTTTCTTCTAATCACTCGAGCAGCTTTTCGATGTGTGTGTATGTGTGTGTAGGTTTGCATTAGGGGTGTTCAAGTAAGTAATACATATTTCATAAATGCCATAAGCGCTAGATTTTAATTTATTTTTGTCTGTCAAAACTAAGCAAAAGTTTTGCATTTGGCATTTGATTTAAAGAAAGTTAATAAAATAAAGAGCAGTTTATTGATGAAATGCGCACAAATATCATGCCCAAAAATGATCAATAATTAATAATTCAAAAACAAGTTTCTAAAAAACAACCAAAAAATGAATCACAATAAATTTCCTAGACGCATTTATATATGTAAAGCTTAATTGATCCCCCTGTATGTGAGTATGTGTGTGAATATGATTCTCGTGATCTTTATTTTTTACTGCTCTTTTTTTTTTTGGATGTGTGAGTGTGCTCACCCTTTTTAATAGGCAAGAACGTCTTGGGCTGCTGCTGCATTAACCCGAAGTTGTTGTTGTTGCTGTAAACAGCTGTTGGCGCTGCTGCTGTAACGGTACCTAACGAAGGCGGTATAAATTGCGGCGCATACGTCTGATATTTGTCATTATTGTTGTGATGATGATGCGGATGGGGCTGTTGTGGCTGCGGCTGCTGCGGCGACGGCAATTGAAAAGCATTTAACATGTGCTGCTGATGCTGCTGCTGCTGCAGATGTTGCTGTTGCTGCAGATGATGATGCGGCGATATGCTGCTGCTTATTGTGGCAGTGTCAATGGGCAGTGACTGATTGTATAGTTGGATGGTGGGCGGCTCAGGAGGCGCCAGCGTATGCGGCTCCAACAGGCTCAAGCGTGGTGGCGGAAAATCTGGCGGTGTTGCCGAATAAATGCGATGAATGCCGCCGGCATTGGCACCTGAGGCACCCTGTGCAGTGGTGGAGGTGGTTATTGCTGTTGTATGATGCCAAGGCAGCGTGGTGAGTTCGTTGTTAATGTTGTTATATTTTCTAGTTGGTGTTGGCAACTCATAGCCAAAATCGTGGCCGTAAACCGTTGCATTACCATAGCCAACAATTGTCGATGTTGGCTGATTGTGCTGCTTGTGCGGTGGTTGTTGCTGCTGTTGTTGTTGTTGCTCTTGCCACGTGCGTGTAAAAATCTCATCGGGTGAACTTGGCGTCAGTTCATCAATGGTCTGATAGCCACTCTCAGTGGGAAATTGCTGCTGCTGCTGCTTGCTGCGCACGTGTAGAATGTGATAGCCGCTATTACGGCGATAGTTGTTATTGTTGTTGCACTGATAGCGTCCCTCGTGCACCTTCAGAGCATGCCGCACCTTCAGATGCGCCTCAATCTTGTGCTTCTCGCCTGCAGTCGATAATCGATAGATCGATCGATAGTTGTAGTCGTGTGGTGAATTTCAGCTCCATCTTCATAAAATATACTCACCTTCAATGGCGCTCTCCGAGAGCGTATAAGAGTGCTCGTCGTGGCCGTGTCGCAAATTGTGACGAGTTATCGACTCGCCATTCTTCAGCCAATGGATCTTCTCGGTGATCGGTATAACGCAAGTAATAGCAAACGGTTCCCCGATATTCACATTCGAATCGCCGTAGTAGACCACAGGTGATGCGGCGAGTGCAAATTCAGCTGACGACTCGTCACTCTCATTATTATTCGCTATAGATTATTGCGTGTGTGGCGAGGGGTGTTTGTTGTTGTTTGTTGGGTGGAAGGGCGGCAAATGGGTCACAAGTTATATATATATATTTATATATAATCGTATATGTTTATAAACACAACACACACTCACAGCAAAAAAGGTTGCAACAAATTTTATTGCACAACATATAGAGAGAGAGAGACAGAGATGGACAGAGAGAGCGAGAGAGAGATGGGGAGATCTATTGGTAGGGAAACTTTTGTAAACAGTAATTTGTAAAACAAACTATAATCATTGGAAATCAAGAAAACATTCAAGTACAAAACAATTAAACAACATAAATTGACTCTGCGGCTTTTTCCAATTGGTCTTTAACACTCTATATAATATTTATATATGGTTAGGTTAATATAGCATCCGATCCGATCCATTTCGATCGAATGTGTGTGTGTTTGTGTTGTGTTTTTGTTGTTGTTAACGATTAGTTTATTTGCTTTTCTTTCGATTCATTTCAACATCGATTTTCAGATTATTTGATTTCAGCGCCAAGTTGTAAAAAAATATATATATATATTGTATGTATAATCAGTTTATTTCTTCGAGTGTTGTGTTGTAAATCTTACATGTATAAATAAAGACACACACAACAACAAAAATTAAACAAAGAACAACATAATTTCAAATTGAATAAACAAAATTGAAATTAAAGCCGAAAGTCGAAATAAATATAAAAATAGTCGCTTTGTGAATGTGACTCGTTGTTATCTGTGCTCTTTTATTTATATGTATATAGAAAAGTGCAGTTTGTAAATATAAATGGTTATCGATACTTATCGATAGACTGCTCATAAATATATAATTAAATTGAAATGTTATATTTTAAATATATATCACGTAATAGTTATTGCTGCATACGTATTTTCATTACGTGATTTTGACGCATGCCGCGTTACACAACACTGCTCGACACGACAATTAACAAATTGCTCACAGAGGGCGAAGGAGAGACAGAGAGAGGGAGAGAGCGAGAGAAACGATAGCGGACGGCAGACGCAAAGTGCTTTTATTTTTAACAATCAATTTGATTACATCCTCAACTCTCCAAACATCAACATCTATGCAAAAATAT